GAGGAGGAGGTAAAGAGGAGGGAAAGAGGAGGGAAAGAGGAGGGAAAGAGGAGGGAAAGAGGGGGGAAGGGGGGTGGGTGTACGGCTTTTGACAATTACAGTTGTGAGGCTCAACTGCTTTTCATACACACCTCACAAAGAAAGGAACGTTTCGACTCGCTCCCAGTTTTTAAAACACCTCCCCATCCACCCACCCATCCCCTCACACCTCAGAGCTCGCAGGCACCCGGATGGACTTGAAGCTGTTGGCCCCCGCCGCCCCCCTGAAGGAGCAGCCGCTGATCATGATGCGGCTGTTGGGCGGAAGCACCACCGCCGACCCAGGGGTCGGCACGCCTCCGTAGCCGCTACCGTAGGGGTAGGGCCAGGAGGAGGCGGCCTCCCACAGCGTCACGTCAGGCAGCAGGTGGGGGCAGGGGGAGGAGGCGGACCTGAGGGGGGGGAGGGGGAGGGGAAAGAACAGGATTGGGTGACAAGGGGAGGGGAAGGAGGCGGACGCATGGGGACGGAGCGGGGGTATTCCTGCTCCACAGGCGAACTCTAGACCCCGGCTTTAGCTCCTGAGAAGCTTGCTTGGATGCATCCTTCCTTCCTTATAAACAAGGTCAGGCTTTGTTAAGCTCCCTGGCAGCAGCCCCTCTCCCTCCCTGATTTCAGACCCTATAGGGTCTCCCTCCCGCCCCTGTTTTGCAATATATCCTAGGCCGCCGCTCTCCCTCCCCTTCCCGCTTGGTAGGGTCTCCCTCCCCTCCCCCGCCTCTGTCCGTACCTGCTCCTGGAGTTTGGATCGTAGTTGCAGTTGTTGGGCGCCGCATAGGGTGCGGGGTAGGATGTGGGGTCGATGCCGGCAGCGGAGGGCGAGAAGCCGCCCGCACCCAGACACGCCTGCTTGGTGGTGTAGGTGCCCCAGCCTGCGTGCGCGCATGGGGGCAGGGGGGGGCATGGGAGCATGGGGGGGCAGGGGGGGGCAGGGGGGGGCAGGGGGGGGCATGCATAGGGGCATGTGGGCATGTGGCAGGTGATGGACATGCGGGTATCAGCCCTTGCAAACCATGCATGAGACTGTGTGTTAAGAAACCTGGCCGTGAGTAGGAACGAGAATGTGTGTGTGTGTTTGTATCTCACGTGGCGCGTGCTCTTTACTTCCCCCCTCGCTTCCCCCGTTCATTCCTTACCCGGCCAGCACAGCCCCCCTCCGTCCCTCTATCCCAATACCCGCCCGCTGTTCCCCCGCTACCCTCCCCTCCCAGCCCCCCCCCACTCACCCCTTTGGCACATCATGCAAGACTCCACCTCACTCGCGTTGGGCACCCGGCAGTTGTCAACCCACTGAATGCACTCCCGTACAGGAAAGTCGCGAATGGCCACCCAGCAGCTGTCCCGGCTGGCGTTGAAGACCCCCGTGTCCCCAGAGCTAGGGGCGGGGCCGGGCGGGCCGAGGGGGGCTTGGTCGGAGAGGAGGGGCGGAGGTGAAGGGGGTTGCGGTGGTGGTGGTGGTGGTGGTGAGGAGGAGGAGGAGGAGGAGGAGGAGGAGGGGGATTTGGTCGCTGGGATGCCGTTGGTGGTTGTGTTGGTGGGAGGGAGAGGAGAAGGAGAAGAAGAGGGAGAGGATGGGGAAGAAGAAGGGTAGGAGGCTGCTGCACTGCCACCGGAGCCGCCGCTGGTAGCGTCGGAACCGCCGCCGCCGCCGCCAGCGATACCGGGGACGACAGCGCCGACGGCGGCGACGGTGGCGGAGCCTCGTACGGCACCCACGCCGTACGGACTATCTGTGTTATTGTAACGGAAGTAGTTGACATCCTCCTCCTCAGCGTCAGACGAGGAGCTCGACGTCGCCGGGGGTGGTGACGGCGGCGCCGCCGTCAGGCGCGCCTCCTCCACAGGACCAAGCTGCGGCGGCGGGGTCACGCTGACAGGAGCTGACGGCGTTGCTGTCGTACCACCGCCGCCGCCACCAGCGTCGACGCCGCTGACGTTGGCGCCGGCGGCGTCGTTAACGGGGCCGGTTGTCGTACTGGTGCCGCCGGTTGCCTGACTCAGCCGCCGACGGTAGCGACTATCCGCGGCCCTAAGGGCCCCGCCCAGACCCTGCTGTTCCAAGCGGGAAATCTTGCCGCCGCCAGCGGAGGCGGGTGATGCAGCGGCGGCGCCCCCGGCCGCCTCCGCCGCCGCCGCCGCCATGTACGGCAGCGGCAGCAGCAGCAGCAGCGGCATGACTAATAGCAGTTGAAGTAGCAGCGGAAGTGCCGTGTTTCGGAGGACGCGAGGATGCCGTACAGCTCCTTCACGGAAGCTGCCGCTGCCACTGCCGATGTCACAGCTGCTGCTCCTCCTACTGTGATGGGACGTCGTGACGGCGGAGGTGGAGGAGGAGATAGATGACGTGTCCCGACAAGCGGCTGTACGGCAATGCTGAGGGTAGCGACGGCGGCCGCCAGCGCCGCCTCCGCCGCTGTCGTCAGCAGTACCCATTGACGCCATGCCACACGTCCCGTTCAGTCACGTGCAGTCAGTAAGAGGTGCTTGGACTCCTGCGATAGGTGGATAGGTGCGGGTAGGTGGGCGGGCGGGTGGGCGGGTAGGTGGGCGGGTGGGTGGGTGGGTGGGTGAAAAGGTAGGAAAACTGACGAACTGGATGAGTGGGTGGGTGGGCAGGTTGGTAAAGGAGCCCCAACTGCAGCTGCCACCTAATAAGCCGACTCAGACCGCGAGTCTCTTCTTATGATGCAGCAGCTGTTGCTGCTATATTGCCGCACTTCCTTTCTTATACACCCTCTCCTGTCTACACCATATACACCACACCCCCTGCCCAATGACTCAGCAGCAAGCGCCACTCACCGCCGCAATAGCGCCCCTGCGATTCCACACCGGTGATGCTGCTGCCGATACGAATGGCTGCGGCCGCCTGCTGCTGCTACCAGCAGAATGCGGATGAGCTAATTTGAGGAACAGGTAGCGAATTATAGGTAGTATAGCGGTAAGAAAATGTTTCCCGCCAAGCCCCGCCGGCGTCCAAAGCTATCCCGCGTCGGCGACTCGTCCGTCTAGGGGCGGCGGCGGCGGCTCCTGGGCGTAGACCCGAACACGGCTCTCTAAATTTTCTTTCCTAGCTTAAGATATTAAAGAGGTTTCGTGTCCTATATACGTGCCGAAAAAGCGCGCGCTGCGAACTTCTAATCGAGACCCGCGGTGCGGCCTATCTAAGGGAATGGAGAGTCGCGCGTTTTAGTCTTCTCTCGCACGCACGCGCGTCTATTGGTATTCTATTCCCTCCCTAGTTTGACTGATTTAAACCGCCGAGTTGCAGTCTAAGGAAGATTTCCTATAGTAAAAGGAGCTAAGCTGGTGGGGTAGACGTGGCTGCTGGATCCGGGATCTCGGTCCAGATTACGTGAGGCCTTTGTCCTACGTGGGGCCTGCCGGCAGCTGAGGCAGCAGACAGACTCATCCTATCTCGGTAGTAGGTATTTTCGTAATCTAAAGCATCCTGATGTTGTAATCTACGAATTGCGTTAGTAATCAAAATCATGTCGTATGGTTTACCGGTATCTCATTTTTAGCGCCTGTCCAACAGTCCAAGCCATAACACTGTTGGGGTGCTTGCGTAGTACACGCTCACATTCCGGCTATCAAAGCTTCTATCGACGTGAGGCTCAAAATAGAGCCCATTACGATGGTGAGGTGGGCAAACAAGGACACAAGCAACGCGAATAGCCGAGCTGACCCAAGGGTCACTTTGCTGCGACCGGAGGCGGCGTGCGACGCAAGCCCATGTGTCCAGCTAGCTAGGCGACATTCGCCACACTCATTCACCTCCACCCTACTTCAACCTATCTACACACCATTGGGCATTTGCACTTATTGCAGCCTGCACCCAACCCGCATTGCGCTCACTCAGAAAGTTCGACGGCATAGCACTTTCACTCCCCCTTCAGCCGCCACTTCATTTGCACTCCGTTTTTCCATGCAGCCGGATTCTTTGCTACCGGCTCCAGTAACAAACCCTACATGAAACATGATAAACTAATCATGCAACGTGCGTTGCTACACTTGCGCTTTTGAGAGATCAGCGCTTTGCAATAGCACTACTGAAAAACGTTGCTAGACCTCAACTTCACTTGCACAGCACTCACTAATTGAAATAGTTGAACTGGACTCGCTTTCCTTATGACAGTCAACTTGTTAACACTTAACACGTTGCTAGGTCCACCCTGCCGAGTGTGCACCTACGCCCAAGACCATCACCTCGGTGCGCTCACACTGCATGCGGCGGACCCATGGGTCACACGGAGGGTCATGCTAGTCCCTTCAACCCTACCTACATAGAGCGGTAAAAGCTTCGCATACCTTGGGATAATCGAGATAAAAGAGTGGGATCGGGGACTACAACGGTACCCGGCGTGGCTATCCTCAGTGGCGGACGTAAGGTGGTCAGCCGAGGGTCGTACGGCGCAAGGTGACGCATTCCAGGATAGTACGTTATGTACGACTTGCACACGAACCGCATGCTGCAGGCTGCTAGCGCGTGTATGTGAGCCGCATGCAGCTTTGCAGCACCAAAAGCTCACATGTTACTTGGGGAGAGATGGAGTAGCGATGCACTGCTTACATGCAGAAGCACGGTCAGGCGGCTGAGCTGTGTGATACCGGTAGCGCAGGACGCATGGAAGGCATGCAGCGAGCATCCGCAGACAGTTGATGTTGTCATGCACCTCGTTCGATGCTGTAGGCAGGTATCCCCATGTGCTACAGTGATGCGCAGCTGGAGGGGGGGTGCTGCAGCTGGCGTCCAAATGCATGGGCGCGCATGCCCTAGGCGCCTAGGGTTCTCCAAGGGGAACTTGGCGACAACACTGGGGTTTTGTTGCAGCTATCGGCTAAGGTCGCCGCAAGCAGCGCTGCAACAGGGCTGGCATCAGCACCAGGTCGAAGCGGAAGTTGCCGTGCAACAGTGCACGGAGTCACATCCGCTGAACTGCTGTCAACAGAGGTAAAAGTTTATTCATATGAGTTTCCTCTATAGATATATACAATAAACTTATTGAGTTGCTTCTTACTGTCTTTGGCTTGCCAACCATGAACGCTGACAAGGTGCGTTGCATTAGATTACTACTTTGCAAATGCCCAGTAGCAAGTACACTGCCTAACATGCATTTCCTGGCTGATCGGATCTGACGCAGCGGGTCATCGTCTACCCACAATACCTCGACTCTAAAAGAACTGTTGCGGAGGGACGACGGATACCCAAACATTTAGGTTAGTTGCATTACACTTTATTATTTTTACCTGCGTTGTTGTAAGGCCTTCGCAGTTCATGGCTCTGTCGCTTCTTCGGTTGCAGCGGCCGATGAGCCAAGCACACATGAAGTTTTCGATATCGTTAAGGCGCTGAAGTTTGAAGCGGAAATTGAGGTAAGTGTTGAATGCGCCAGGGCTGATGGCAATCATGTTGTCCGATCAACCTGCCAACGTTGCTCTGCCCTACAGGCCCCCTGCCAAAGTCTTGTATCTGCAACTGTTAGGCATTCCCGCTCTTTTTCTCCCCGCTGACGTGTACTTGTGCGGGCTCTTTCCAGGCTAAGCACTACCCACGCGACTGGATTCCCCGAGGGCGGGTGCGGGTGCTAATAAAGGGCGACGATGGGAAGCCCGTAAACCCCGATATCCCTGATCGTGAGTGCCCGCTTGGGAGGCGGAGGGTTTGGGCTCGTGGAAACAAAGAGGCTCTTGGATGGGTTGGATGGACCCAAAGTGGCAATGGCGTTACGGCCATTTGTAGCCCAACCGGGAGGCGGAATTCTGGATTAACTAAACAGGGCAAACAGTGGCACTGGTACCACCGTTAACAGACGTGGGGAACGTTGGGGAGACGTTGGACTCACCCTGACGACCGGAACCTCTTCAGGCAGTCACTTGAGTGCGTTGCACTGGAAGCAATCCTATGTGCTTTGACGTCCGTCCTCCTGTCTCTCTACCTCCCGCGGCCAACCCCGGGTTAGTAACCCCAATCAATCCCTTCCCCAACCAACCCCAAGCTCGGATAACCAAGGATGACCCTCGCTAACGCAACTCATGCGCCTCCTCAAACCGCTCCCCAGGGCGCTCCCTGCTCCTCCGCATCGCGGAACTGGTTCCCAAGCACCCCAACCGCACCAACCCCAAGGCGCGCCAGGCAGCAGCAGCAGCGGGGGCAGCAGCAGCGGGCGCTGGGCCCTCCTCCTCCGCAGCGGGCGCCAGCGGCAGCGGAGCGGGCGCCAGCAGCAGCAAACCAGCACCCAGCAAGAAGGGAAAGAAGGGGAAGAAGTGAGGAGGAGGTGTCTCTAGTTAGGGCGTGGTGCGGGTGCGGCTTTACAGGAGGGCTTGTTTGGAGTGGGGAAGGAAGTGAGGGAGGGATGGTGTGGAAGTGGGGAAGGTTGTGAAATAGGGAATCCTGCAGGCGGGGAGGCCAAGGGAACGGTACGACACGTGTTATAAGAACAGAGCGGTTGATGACATGATGAGCCGCGGTTGTTGCAGAGCCGGTGACGCCCAGTTAGCGATTTAGCAGAGCACAGGAAAGCGGCACCGTACGTAGAAGCACGCGGTGCGCTGCGTCGTGCTGAGTTGTAGCTGCCTTCAGAATCAGTACCGTGTTGGACGGCTATGTCCCCCTATCTTGTGGCCTAACTTGTGCCGCTGCCTAGGCTTTTGTGCGGAAACAAGTGGGATGATGGTGACCGACCCTTCATGTGGCGTTGCGCAGCAGCGCTTACTCGGTGTAACGTTGAGAGGCTGGGACCCACTGCATTGCTGGAAGTATGGTGCGGGCTGGCGACCCTTGCGGTTTGGGGGCGGTAGCTGATCTCGCCACTTTTTCAGCCAATGCTGTAGCAAGGGTTCCGAATGGGCATGCTGCTAGCACTGTGTTTATGGCAGCTGCCAACATCGGGTGTAGAAAGTGTGGAAAAAGCAACTTCGTCGCTTGCTGCTGCTATTGTTGTGTCGCAGTCCCGGCTCCGGCTGTTGGGTGTGCACCGTTTGGGGGGGTTGGCTGATGTGGCGACCAGGAGCACAGGAGGTGATGATGAATGCAGCCATGAGGTAGCATGGAGCACCATTGCCAATGCAATTCCAGCTTCAGGGTTGACTTGACCGCGAGGCGATCCTCCGCGATAACGATGCTTTGTGCAATGCCTTAACGCGTATTTGGGTCGGCTTACGGTTGTTTAACGTGGTGGCGATCAACCGCTCATAACCCTTCCCAGACCCTTTTAGGTGGCAGCCTTAAACTGAACTTGTTTGGCTTCACTTGGATATATAGGTTTAGCACTAAGGTCAGCCATGTCGCAATGGCTATACTAGGTCTATCACAGTCTCGAGGTTGGGGCAGGTTAGAAGCAGAAAACATATGAAGCACAGGGAGCACGACCCTAAGCCAGTTGACTATAGGCATATCGGTGCAAACAACTGGACGCAGCCTGTGAAGGCCATCGGCAGTCCTTTAACCGAATTAACCGAACCCGTACGGAAAGGAAACCTGGAACCCGAAGCGATATGTTTTGAGTAGCATGTTGCTCTAGGTCACTTGCGGCCCCACCTACTTTGCGCATGCATCCGCCTGTCGCCATGGTGCTTAATTTCCAGTTTTCTGCAAAAGCCTATGGCACGACGGAACAGACTCCAAACCAATTGCATTGTTGATATTCCTTACAATTAATTATTTCCATTGGTGCTATTAGGCGTCGTTGCTAGCAGGGGAGGCATTCAAACGCATACGCCGCGCCGTTTGACGCTCATTAAGTGTTGTCGAGGTTGCTTCTGTCTAGAATAGAAAGTCAGCTACATTTATCCGGGGCAGATCTGAAGAGCTTCGAGCAGCAGCGCAGCGTTGGCTAGCAGCGCATGTCGAGCCCTCGGGGCCGTGGCCGAGGCGGCAGGTCGCTCTGGTAGGTTATGTGAAGGCCTCATTATCAACCCTAACAGTCGTGGCGCCGGGGGCCATGCATCACTGCTGTGGCTTTCCAGCTGCCACTAGCTGCGATGTTGGCAAATTCAACTGCCACTGCCGGTGACCCCAAAGTCAGTAATAGTACTTCGATATCGTAACCCCATATTGAACTTGCGTTGAATGGCCTGGCCTACTGACGCTTACTCTGCATTAAGCTAACACCAACCTGGCATGTTCGCCATTTTGGGATCACAACCCCGCTGTGTTCTGGATCGGCTTTCTCTGCCCACCTATAACCCATATACACGCAATTGTAGACCTGCCGTTGTGGAAACCAGAACATCGTTAATCCTTTATCCAGACTTGTCATTTGTCCACCCATCCTGCCCTGTGTTTCCATCCTCCTTCCCCAGGCCATGGCCCCTTCGTATTCACAGCGTGCGTAAGCTGCTGGTGAGTCGCCTATCGCTGGGATCCATATTCCATGTATATCAAACAGCCGCAACGAAGTAATATCTGATGCGTTGTAAAGGTCAAGCTGCCCCATGAGGCCTGTATGTCAGCACCTGAATGCTCGGCATGCTCCAATTATGCTTCCTACCGTCAACGAAAGCCTTACAACAATCAAACTAAAAGAAACAACCCCACCATCCCTCGCCCTCTACACCTAGCTCCTCCTTTCCGCGGTCATCTTCCTCGCCGTACAAGTACACTTCTACAACCACACCACTCGGAGATTTAAGGACTGCAGTGTCCCATGGGTCACTGAGGAAACAGCGGTAGCAGCTGCAGCAGCAGCGGACGGCGTCAGCAGTAGCAGCAGCAACCTTAGGGGTCTACGCGGGGACGCTGGCGGCAGTAGCGGCGGCCACCATGCCATCAAAGCTGCCAGAGTCTCTAAGGAAGGGGCAGCTAGCAGCAGCAGCCCTGGCGGGGGGCGAAGGAGCAGAATCAAGCCGCTCAGGATTGCGTTGGTGAGTGAACGAGTGAACGGATACGTTGTCCTGGGTAGCCCGGTGGTATAAGCGGTGTGCAGGATAGAGAGGGGCGGGCTGTGTTGTGTGAATTGTTGGATGATACACTTGAGTCGTGGCTTGGAGTATGAAGGCGCACAGTACGAAACCACCGAATCGACTTCCAACTCACGAAACACCCACATACACGTGTGTTGCATACATACCTTCATCTCCTCTCCCTCCCCCCAGGGGCTTGTCCTCTAGTTTGCCATTCTCATTCAACACATTGGGAATCCTCTTTCCCTTCCCTCCCCCTCCCAACCAGGTGTCCATGTCCACGGGTCGCGCCCACGACGCGGCGGCGGTACGGCAGCAGGCGGCGGTCAACGCTCGGTCAGCGGAGTTCTCGGGGCTGCTGGACGTGACCGGGTGGGAGGGTGGGTGGGGGGAGCTGAGGTGGGAGGCGGGGTGGAGCTGAGGAGGAGGGCAGGATTGGGTGGAATTGGTGAAACACATGGAGGCGGGATGCAACCTTATCCCTCCTCGGTATGGTCTTTGACCCCCCTCCCCCCCCCCAACCCCCCCCCCATCAGGCCCAACAAGGCTGAGTACGCCCTGCGTCACGGATACACCTATGTGGACGCAAGCGAACTGCTGGACGGTGAGTAGGGGTGGGGGCGGGGTGGGGAGGGCTGCTAGGTTTACCCCAACAACAACGGCTCGTACACCTGTCGAGGTGTACAGGTGTCGTACATATCTCTCTTCTCCTCCCTCCCTCCCTCCCTCGCAGCCTCCCGCCCCGCCTCCTGGAGCAAGATCCCTGCCGTACTTTCCGTACTAGATTCGTACGACTGGGTTTTCTGGCTGGACGCGGACACGCTCATCACCAACATGTCGCTTCCGCTGGAGACGCTGCTGCCCGCGGTTGGGCGGGGGAGGCGCGACAGGGGCGGCAGCGGCGGCAGCAGCAGCAGCTTGGGTAGGAGGGAGCGTCAAGACGACAGTAGTGATGGTGGTGGTGGCAGCAATGGACGAGGTGGAGGTGGTGGTGGTGATGTTGATGTCAGTCATGTAGCAGAAGGAGGAGCAGAAGCAGCAGCAGGAGGGGATGAGGGCCATCATGGGTTGGTGGGGCCGAGAGCCTCGCCCGACCTGATCCTTACAATGGACTCGACAGGTGGGGGCCGGGGGGATGTTCAAAGGTGCATGCAGATGTGTTGCTCCCACCCTTACTCCACCCTGTGCTATCTGTTTCAGCCCACACACTAATCATATGCCTTCAAGCCGTCTGATGCTGTCTTTCAACCACCTCCTCCTCGTCACCCCCCTCCTCCCTTCATACCCCCCCATCCTCTGCTGCTGCCGCTGCTGCAAGCAGGCGTCAATGCGGGAGTGTGGATCATGCGCGGTTCGGGTTGCGGTTGGTGCCGTACATTCCTGCAGCACTGGTGGTCTTTGGATTCGTTTGTACGACACGGTCCTCATGACACCAAGTCGGGCGATAACGACGCGTTGAAGCACCTGATTGCGACCATGGAACGGTGAGGGAGGCAGGGAGGGGGAAAGAAATTGGGAGCGGAAACGGAGGGCGGCAGGGCAGGTAAAAGAAACGTAACGCCCGGAAAGTGTACAAGAGGGACGGGCACTAACCTAGGTACCTTCTTCTTCCTCCCCTCATCCTGCTTGCTCCCGACTCCCTTTCCGCCTTCCCTCTCCGCCCCCCTCCCCCTATCTTCCTATGGTTTGGTCTAATTTTGATCCCGCCTCCCTCCTCCCTTCCCTCTCCTCCTCCTCGCCTCCCCCCAGTTCCGAACGCGCCATGCACGTGGGTCTAGCCCCCCAGTGCTCCTTCAACTCCTACCTCTGGCGGCCCAGTCTGCGCAACTGGCTACGGTACCTGGCCAACCCGCGACACATCCTCACGGGTTTGTGGCAGCCGGGAGATTTCGTACTGCACCCCGCTGGCGTACAAAACAAGATGGCGGTGCTGCAGCGCTTCCTCCGGCAACATGCAGGGAGAGCAGGAGGAGGAGGAGGAGGAGCAGGGGCAGGAGGAGGAGGGGCGGCAACAGTGGATGGGGCGAAAGGCACATCCTGGCAGTCCTCCTCCTCCACAGCAACTGCAGCAGCTACGACGCCGTCTGTTGGTTCGTCCGAAGGCGAGGGGTTGCAAGGAGAGGGGACGCAAGGAGAGGGGACGCAAGAGGAGGGGGGAGGAGAGGGGTTGCGAGGTGATGGACGGGAACTGCTTCGATCGCTGCCCCTGCCGCCGCCGCTTGCAGCAGGGGCGTCGGCTCTGCCGCCTTCGCCTCCTGCCCTGCCGCCGCCTCGTGCGTCTCGCCATAGGGAAGGAGGGAGTACGGCAGGGGGTACGGCAGGTCAGGAGGTAGCAGCCGTGCTTAGGGAGGTTTGGGGTCGGAGAGGAGGAGGAGGAGGGAGTAGCAGGGCGGGGAGAGGGATACTTGAGAGTGGCGGGGGTGGAGGTGGAGGCGAGGGGGAGGGCGAGGAGGAGCGATGATGATAGGGTGGTGGTTGTACGGATGATGATGACTGTACGACTGTTATGATAAGGTATCGTAGCTGTTGTGTGATGCTGGTGGTGGTAGTGGAGGTGGTGGAGGTGGTGATGATACCGTAGTGGCCAAGCCGCAACGTGATTTGCAATGCAGCCGGCAACCTGGGGTTGCTGTGGGGTTAGGGTTGGGAGAGGTTCAGAGGAGGGGATGCAGCTTCCTTGTGTGCCGTAGTTACTGCTCTGGGGCTTGGAGCTCGGGGCTTCCACATTCCCAAACACATCTTCAATCCGTTCAGCAGCAGGCTCAGCAGGGCTCACTGACGCACCCAAGGATGGATGCGGCTGCATTGCTGCACCACCTCAACCGTCACAATCCTGTCTGTCTTGTGCTCACAGAGACAATCCCCACACACGTCGGCTTCACACAAAACACATCCCCACCTCGCCCGTTCGGGTCACAGCTTTGGGACCCTTCTTGCCGCTGCTGCCTAGACCCTCCTCCATCTAAAACGAGAATGCGGTTAAACCACCTTCCAGTGGTGACTCTCCTGCCGTACCCTCACAATACCACCCAGGACAGCTCCGTCCGGCAATCCATCACGTGTTCATCCATGCACTCCCCCTTTCCTTCCCCTTGCCTTATTGGGGCTACAGGCCCCTCATGGCTTGTACGGACACACTGTACACGCGTACAGACTGTAACTGAGATCCTTGTAGCCGGCATCATCCAAACCCAACCCGCTGCTTCTCGAGGTGCCAACAACGTATCAGAGTGAGCCCGTTATTGCCCGAATAGTTACCGGTATCGCGGCATGTGTCACACAGCTCTCAAAGAGGCGCTTGAAGCCGCCCGAGTCATACATGGCTCGTCCATGGCTTAGTAAACGCCGTACCGCACGACAAGGCGCCGTACATGTATGATGCAGCTTAATTCCAGTCAGCCCACTCCATCATCGTTTCAAGCAGAGCCCGTTCTTCGACCAATCACCACACGGTTCGTAAGACTTAGTAAGAATTGGATACCTTAACCTCTTACCTGTCTATGCACCGCCTCGCCCATGCAAACGAGTACACGTTTTCATCACACCCGCCCCTCAATCGGCAGATAGAAGCACCAGCAGCCCCTGAAGCAGCAGCATCAGTCCGCTGTCGCCTTGTGGCATCAGCGCCAGCACCGCTGATGCAACCCCCACGCCGACATGGCAACTGCAGATTCAAGCAGCAGCAGCAGTAGCAGCGGTGGAGGCAGCAGCCGCCGTTAGCGGTTGCGCTCGCACGCCTGTGCGCCGTCCTGTCTACGCTAGTCCTAAGCCACAGCAGCAGATGTCACCCGGGCGTTGCTCCGAGGGAATGGAGGGGGCTGCTGCCGAGGGTAAGCGGCGGGGCGGCAGCAGCAGCGGGCTTGTCGCCGGTGGCGGTGGTGCCGTTGGTGTTTGCAGGCGCAGCGGGGGCAGCAGCAGCAGCAGCTGCTGCATTCCCGTTGCTGCTGCTGTTGCCTGTCACAAGCCGTTGAATGGTCTGGTGGATTAAAAGGGGGGTGGAAGGCACGACAAGAAAAATAGTTATGGCGTCTAATCCACAGGGTGGAACGGGAGATCAAAACGGGGGGCGCTAGGAGGAGATGGGGTGGGATTAGATGGCAGCAGCTGATACTGCACTGTCGCCGGTGGAACTGTGACGCTTGGCGTACGCAATGATAGGGTATTGACGCACTATGACAGCTCGCTGCCTGCCCCCGGCCCCCCCTCCCACCCCTACCTCCCGCTCCGCCAGCATTGCAGCAATGGCGGCCTCCATCTTGCCAGCCAGCTTCTCGAGAGCCAGGATGCTGCAGGGAGGGGGGGCGGGTGGAGAGGGTGGCCTTTGGAGTGGAGGAGGGGGCGGAATTGCGAGCGGAGCTGCAACAGGTAGACAGGAACAGGCAGATACAGGCAGGCAGGTACATACATATCCGCCCGGCATTATATTTGCGACCACTCGCGTCCCTTCCCCTCTCTTAACGCCTTATCCCTCAGTCGGTTAGTTGTTTCCTCTTTTGTCCCATCTCTCCTTATCACACGGTTCGTTCGCCGTTTCCACCTCTTTCCCTCCCTTTCCCCACTGCTTTGCCCTAAGCTGTGATTTCCTATTGCTTTGTCGCTCTTTGGCCGCCTCCCCCCCTCCCACACACCTGAACGGCTCCTCTATGTAAACCCCGATCTCCTCGATTCCCAGCAACACGAACGCCACCAAAGCCGCGATGGGAATCTGAGGTCCAGGGGGGGAGCGGTTAGGGGAGTTCATTAGGGCAGAGTGAGGGGTTCAAGGGTTTGGGGGGTGAGTGGCTTCGGGTATTGGTTCTGTGAAACAAGGCAGCTTTGGCAACTTTGACAAGAGGACTCCGGTAGATGGTGAAGGGGGCGATCACACGGGGCCGAGGTGGGAAGAGGGCGGTGGGGTGTCCCATGCATCATCCCCCATTACCCCCATGCATGCATGCATCTTCCCCTGCCCCTCCCTCCCCCAACCGAACGACCCGCGGGTCACCTCACCCCACCCCACCCCACCCCTACCATGGCGGGCCCGCAGTAGCTCCAGAGGCACAGCGGCAGGCAGGCCAGCCAGCCCATCAGGAAGCGGGAGGTGTGGCGGGTGTAAGACAGGGGCAGGGGCGTGTTGAGCAGCCGCTCGCAGGCGGCCAGGGAGGAGGTCAGGCGGCTCACGTTCTCATCCATGCGCATCACCAGCTCCTGGGGGGGAGGGGGGAAGGGGAATGCATGATAAGTGCAGCAACTGGAGTCCCAATCCCATATCCCGAGGGGGGTGAGTAAAAAAGGAAACTGACGAGCTGTATGACGAGGCTTCACCATGGGTTGTTGTTGAGTTGGGGGGGAGGGGGGGTTGAGAGGGGATGGATACTTGCCAGTGCTGGAATGATGCGATACCGTACAGCTGTAAGTATATAGATACATGTGGTTAGGAGTAAGAAACAAGTCATGAACCTTTGGGAGGAAGGGGGCGGGAAGAGTAGGAGGATGGAACGGTAGGGATGGAGGGCGGGAGAGTGAGTGGGAGTGGGGGTAAGGAAGGCGAAAAACACACGGTCTGACACACGGTGCGTGTCTGGGACGGGAGCTGCAAGACCCGCAGCCGACCCACGGGTCGCACCCACTCACCTGGGGCAGCCCCGCTGTCCGAATGATCCAGGTTATCATCTGGCAAGCGGGGAATGGGGGTTAGAGGGCACCAGGGTGTGTGTGTGGGTGGGAGGAGGGGGACAGAGTGGGGGTTTGCTGGGGTAAGAGAGGCGGGGAGGTGGAGGGGGAAGACGTGGAGTAGGGGGAGCCCAGAAGGCATCAGACAGAGACCACTGAGAGTCTAAGTGAAGGCTAGGTGAGGCCCCATCTTCCCACTCCCCCCATCCTCCCACTACCGCCCCCTGCACTACCAGGGGCTGGCTTCTCTCTAAGCCCCTCCACCACCTCTCCCTCCTTATGCCCCTCCCCTCCCCCCCCGCCCGCCCCGCCCCACCTGTAAACAGAAGTTGGGCGGGTGTGCGGACGCCACCACCGCCGCCAGCTCCTGAGGAGTGGGACTAGGTGTATTGACTAGGTGTGTGTTTTTGTATTAAGTGGGGACGGGGAGGAGTTGAGATGCCCGGATGGACGGTTGTTAGGGGCGAGGCGCAAACCAACTGAACTGGTTATCTATCGCCGTCCTCCATGCCTTTTAACCTTTTTGAACAGTATTACTGTTGTTAATTCGTTATATCCTTGCAAACCCAACGGGGCCTGTTATTCCCATAGGGAATAACAGCCCCCAACGGGTTCCGAGCACGTAGCGGACGCATTTGCAGCATCCATCTGTTCGCATGTTGAGGACAACAACCACGTGGTGGGTATGTATGGGGTGTCGTACAATACTCTTGCTGTACAGCAAACTGATAGATAGGTGCAGTACACCGTCGTACGACACGCCGTACCTGGGGCTGCAGCACGTCTCGGAGCTCATCCTGGGGAAGGGGAGGTGGCGGGGGGGGGAAGGGGAGGTGGCGGGGGGGGGGAAGGGGGTAATGTGTATGTAGTTAACATCCGCAACTATCGGGCTGGGTCAGCAGTACCGTAGCTGCTTGCTAGGTACCCCCCCCCCCCATGCAAACCCCATGCAAACCCCATGCAAACCCCCCCTCCTGGCTTCCCAAGATACCATGCAGCCACCCGTGTAAGTACAGCATGGCGCTGCTCCCTCCTCCTCTCCCCTCCCCTCCCCACCCCCAATCCATCCAGACGCGGACTATGTTTCCATATGAATTACCCCCCCCCCCGGCCCCCTCCTACCTCCAGTCGGTGCTCCTCTCGCAGGTGCACCACACAGCTCCGCCCCAGCGCCACCAGCCAGCGGGCCAGGTGGGGGCGAGGGGAGCAGGGGGAGGAGGAGCTTGGAGAGGAGGAGGGGGAGGAGGAAGGGGAGGAGGGGGAAGAAGAGGAGTCATGCTGCTGCTGCTGCTGGGGGGAAGGGCCGGAGGGAAACCAGGAGCAAGCCTGGAGAGGGGGAAGGAAGGGAGAGAGAGGGAAGGAACTCATAATGGAGAGGGTAGGTAGGGTTGGGGAAGTCAAGGTGGCAAGCGCATTCCCAATCCCCTTTTGCCTCCTGCCGAAACCCCCGGCTGCTCCCCCGCAGGGGGGAGGGGGCCTCTCCGCCCATTCCTCACCCACACCGGTCTCGTCCCCATGGTTTGGTATCTCCCTGACCAGTGCGAATTAATCCAGCCCAGTGCGAAGTACAGGTGTGTCCCACTGTCCCTACCCCTCCCCCCACCCCCCTCCTTCCTGCCGCTCCCCACCTGCCTCGCCAGGTCCCTGCAGGTGGTGGTGATGGCTCCGAAGCTGCGCCGCCCCTCGTCCCAGCGGCTGTAGCTGGCATTGGTGCGGAACACCTGGGGGGGAGGGGGGGGAGGGGGGGAGGGAAAAAGAAATTCCAAAGTGTGGTGTGATAATGATATAAGTTGCTGGAGGGAGGGAGGGAGGGAGGGGGCTAGGTGGGGGAGATGGGGAAGGGGAGAGCGAGAAAGGGGAAGGGGGGAATGAGGGCGGCGGGCACATGGTTGGGGTCATGCAAGCGAGCGGAATGCTACCTAGCAGTGCTGCTCAGCCGCCCGGCTAACCCCCAGCTGAACCCAGAGCCCCCATCCCTTCCGCACCCCCACACTCACCCCATAGCAACCTAACTGACAGCATCACCAGCACCGAATTGTTTCTCCCTCCCCTCACCAGCACCCCACAAGCATCCATTCCCCGCCTCACTCCACACACTACACATTGGATATCCTTCTTTTCCTCTCTTTTCCGGCAGCCGCGAAGCTGAAGAGCTGCATGGGCTCCACTGCATGGGAGCTGCATGCCCCCTCCCAGCTAATCCTAACCCCTCACATCCCCACACTTCCCACTCCCCCCCCCCCTCCCCAGCCTCCCCTGCCTCACCAGCAGCAGCGACAACGCGAAGCTGGTGAGCTGCATGGGCTCCAGCGCTATGGCGGGCAGGGGGGGCAGCCAGGGAGGCAGCAGGCGGGCGGCGTGGGCGGAGTTGAAGGCGGCCACAACTGGGGGTGGGGGGATGGGAGGGGCAAGAGTGGGAGGTGAGGGAGTGGGAGGGGAGGGAGTGGGAGGGGAGGAGGGAAGCGGGCGATGGGAGCTGCAGTGGGTGCGGGGGTCGCAAGGGAGCGGAGGCCGCAACAAGGCAAGGTAGGAGGGTGAAGAGAGGGTGGGAGAGAGCGAAGCAGCAAGGGATCAAGAAGCGGGTGGGGGTCAGAGATATACCAAAACCACACGTTCGGGCAAAGCGGAGTCTGACTGGGGATAGAGGGAAGCAGTTTGTTCGAAGGGGGGGTCGGGGCGGGCCCCGACCGGTCTGGCTCCGCCACCTCACCCCCTGTGAAGGCGGTGACCCACGCCACGGGGGCAGCGATACCCCGCACGATACCCGACCTGTGGGGCAGGGCAGGGCGGGGTAAGGCGCAGGGCGGGGCGGGGTAAGGCGCAGGGCGGGGCGGGGCGGGGCATGGCGGGGCGGAGCGGCAGCAGCAGGCATACTGGTAGGTACACAGCTATTTTTACTGGGCGGCAGCAGGGGCGGCAGCAGCAATTTTATGGCACGCGCGGCGAGGCGGCAGCCATGTGGGGGCAATACCGGTAGGGCTGCAGTGAATACGGCTGCAAATTTGACGCGGTAACGTAGGCTGGTGATTCGCTTGCGGAGGTGGGATGATGATGATGATGATGCATCGGGCAGCCAATACGCTGCTGGCTACACCATAGTTGGAATTGGAGACGATCCCGTCGTACAGTAGAGTATGCCGTACTGCATTACAAGGCCCTCACGACAACCCAGCCGTGAACAAGCATCCTGCCGCTCAAACCTACTCTGCCAGTGTCTTGAGGTGGTACAGGTAGCGGCTGCCACTCCGGTGTCGCTTCCAGTCATCGAATGTGAATGTCTGGATGGGACGGCGGGATGGCAGAAGGGTGGTCACGGAAAGAGAAGTAAAAGGACACGCGCAGCAATACGTACTGTACATGTTTATGGCGTAATCCTAGCCCAACTTGCACCTTTGGGGAAGCAGCGCTAGGCCATTATTGGGACCGATTAATGAGAGCTAGCGGTTAACATGGCCACGCACCAAGCGACGCGTTTTGCGGCTTTCTTCTTTGGCAGCATCAAACGTAACGCATTCGCGGTGGCTCGCGGAGAGCTTCCTCAATCCCGCCTTAGCCGCTCCAGAGCCCTCAGAGTTTCCTTGCTGATGCAAGCCAGGCTTCCCCGCGCGCAATCGCAGACCCAGGGGAGCTATTTTTCGGGGCCATAGGTATGAAGAGTTAGAAACGCGACTGCTGCGACTTTCAGCGCCGAGTGGTAGGGAGCTCATGCGGGCATGTAAATGCAAAATAGTGATAGTCTGGATTGGCATTCGAAATTTAAGTCAATAAAGCGGGTTTATGGAAATGTCGTAATAACAGCGGAAGCTACTCAGTTGCAAGGATGTTCACGAAAAGGATGCTTGTCCCGATAGGCTAGAAGTCCAGGAGCTTTGAGCCAAGCAAGGATTCCCTTTCAGAAACAATAACTAGTCCGTGCACCCGTTGTAAGCAGCATTTTGGAGGAATCCTTAGTCATTGCGCACCCTCCCACGGCCATAAGGCCCTTCCCATGCCTAGTGACGTGCACAAGGGTCAAGGGTCGGCACCAGTGCTCAGCCGTATCCATCCCCCCCCTTTAGTTTGCATTCCTCCATAAGCAGGTGGCCTTTTCAATTAAATAGTGCTGTTGAGAAAGGCAGGTTCGCAGGCAGTGGCTAGCAGTGTGGAAGCGGGTTAGGGTTAGAACACGTTGGCTGTCCTTGTACCCAAGGTCACTGCCTAGCGAGCGGCTGTCAATGTCAGCGTGCATCTTAGCATACGGTGGAGTATGTCGCTGTTAGGCGTCAGAGGGGAAGGGGCGCTAAAAGGCGTGGGGAAGTGAAGATTATGGCAAGGATGTTCATTGACCGGATCATTCGCTGGCATGCTGCTATCAGACGCCCATAACAACTGGGGCCATAGCGACACACAAGGGTTGCCATAAGCGCAACTGCAAGCCCACGAACAGCTGGAATCCACGGTACCGCTAATCAGCAAGCGCGAATCTGCGCAGCAAGGGTTTGAGTGTCGCGTGCACCGCTCTGTAAAAACAGCCAACGTGATATCAGCTTATGCTTTTTCCGCAATCCGCCGATCGTGGATGCTATGGGTGCACTTTGCGACATGGTGTGCCGTGCGCCGTGCGACATTTCACGCGGCATGGATGCATCGCTCGAAAAAAGCGCGCGATAACTATACTCGCACTTTCCATACTTGCTGAATAGTCTAAGCAGAAGCAAGAGGTACCCGTATGCGATCAGGTTTGAACACGTTTGCGTTTGAGCAAATGATGGCAGGAGGAAAAGGCGCCTCTCCATAAAGGCTTTGCTGACTTTTATCAACACACCGGAAAGCCATGATGATTGACTAAAGCGTACTTGAACTTTGTTGGGATAGCATCTTCTAGGTCGCATCCTCGCGAATGGAAGGTGCCCAGCAAGGTGGCCAGCAGCAAGGCGGCCGGCCAGCGGCCATCGACGCTACAACGCTCTTTGTGGCGGCTTATAGGGGCTACATGCAAGCCGGCTTCGATGAGGCCACCGCCCGGAGAAGTGCCGCACAAATCCTCACCGCGAGGCTTGTCGCCCAAGGCATCAGCCCTGCGGACATCAACCGGCTAATCGCCGCACTTTTGATCCAGCGCGGCGGTGCAGCAGCAGGTGCTGCTGCAGCAGCGGCAGCGGCAAATCCACAGCAGCAGCAACAACTGCAGGAGCAATACGAACGTTACCGCCGCGAGCATGAGCTTCGCGAGAGGCGAGCACGCGAGCGGGAGCGGGAGCAGCAGCAGCACCGGGAGGCTGCGCAAGCCCACGATGAGGGCGGGGCGGATGCAGAAGAGGTAAGTACTGGTGCTGGTGCCTACTTTGAACCCCGCCCCAACCCCTTGCTTACCTCTCGGCCCCTCCTCCTCCCCCCTTACCGGCATGGTACTTACGTGTTCCTCCTCCCCTCCCGCCTGCCAACTGGGCTGCTTGCTGTGTTGACCTCCGTCTGACAGGACGCCGCGGTGGACATTTATGAGCAGTACAAGTGAGTTTCCCAGGAGCGGGTGGGGTGGGGGAGAGGACAGGGAGTTTGTCCGGGGAGGAGGTGGGATGCGTAGGGTGGGGTTGATGTCGGTGGTGAGACCCTGCGGCCGTTAGGTTACGGATGGCGATGTGGGTTGCGGAGGCGAGGGGGAGAGCCCCGGGTGTCGTCTACACGGTCCTCCAAGCGTATATCCAAGCGTTTAGAACGGGAAGAAAGGGTCGAAGGAAGAACCATGAGCCTGTGCCGCATGTGAGGTACTAGGTGCTCTAACGGCGGCGGTGCCGTACCTAGCAGCGGCAGCAGCAACCGCAGACGCCTGCTTGCAGAGCCCAAGTACGCTGGGCAGCCCAAGTAGCATAGGACATGCATGCGAGGGCATTCCCATGTGAAAGAGGAGAGGCTACCCCCTCCTCCTGCCCCCTCCTCCCAACCCCCGCCCCAACTCCTGTCTCCCTCCTTCCGCCACCTCCCCCCCCAGGCCCTCCAAGGTGTCTGAGGGGCCGCCCCACCCCGACCCCATCGTGGAGACCGCCTCGCTGGCCTCCGTGGCACCTCCCGACATCACCTACAAGCACCACCTGCAGGTGGGGGGGGGGAATTATAGATAAGTGCAACAATGGCATGGAGGGTGTTGCGCGGTCTGTGGGTCGGGTATTCGACCTCATGCCAGGGAGGTGGGGGGTTGTGGTTGGCCTGTGTGTGGCGGGTGTGTGTTAAGAAAACTGGCCGCAAGTCGGAACATAGTATGATTGCGCGTGCGTGTGTCATGACCTCATGAGTGAAGTGAGCATATGCCCCTCTGCCCCCCTCACCCCACCCAACCCCATCCGCATCCCTCACATTAAACCTCCTACCCCTGTTGGAATCCCTTATCCCGCCTCTTTACCCTTCCTTCCTCCTCCCCCTCCTCCCCCACCAATATATATTCTTTACCCCCCTCCCCCTCCCCCCCCAGGAGAACCTGTCCCGCGGGGAGCTGTCCAATGCGCAGCTGGAGACGGTGTTGTACGCCTTCCAGCGCTTCGAGAAGAGGCTGCCGGATGGTGGGTTTGGGCAGGGGCGGGGGGAGGGGAGAAAAAATTAAATATGTGAAACAACGAGTCCCGATCCCATATCCCGACTCATGCAGTGAGCGCATTCGGAGACACTATCCTATAAACACGCATCTCAAATTACTAGGGGAGGGGAGGCAGGCAGGGAGGGAGGGCCACTAGCCCGGAAGGGGACTGGGCAGTAGAGTTGTTGCGATGAATCCTACCGGGCCACACATTAGGCACATCACGCCTCTCACTCTATCCCCCCCTCTCTCTGTTTCCCTTCCCTCCCTTAAGGTTCCCGTGCGGGTTTCTTCCTGGGCGACGGGGCGGGGGTGGGCAAGGGGCGCCAGATCGCCTCCGTCATTCGGGAGTACTGGGCCACCGGGGGACGCAAGGTGGGGCTGGGCTGTGGAGGGGAGGGGAGGGAAATAGAGCGGAGTGGAAGGGAAGGGGATGATGAGTTGAATCCAGCAGAAGGGGCACTCGTACGGTTGGTTAGATAGTTGGTTTCCGCCTCTTTCTCCCCCCGCCTGCTCATCATACAGCTCGTCAGTTTCCTAAATTCTTACCCCCACCCCCATCCCCCCCATTCGCTGCTCCCCCTCCTCCCCCCTGTCCCCCCCCTCCAGGTGTTATGGGTGTCCACCAGCAATGACCTGCGCTACGACGCGCGGAGGGACCTGGGGGACCTGGGGGTGGCGGAGGGGGAGATACCCGTGTACCCGCCGGTATGAGGGGGGCCAGGGGGCGGGAAGGATGTATGGATAGGGAGGTGTGCCCCGTCCGGCTCACCCAAGGGTCCCTCGTGTCATGTCGGACCATGTCGGATTGGGATTCCAGTCTTAATCTTATCCTCATCTTACCCACCTGCCACCGTCCCACCCTCAACCTCCCACCCCACCACGCCCCCGCAGCGCAAGGACAATGTGCCCGCCGGCCCCCTGGACCGCGCCTACCCCAATGGTGGAGTGCTCTTCATCACATACTCGCTGCTGGTCTCCAAGGGCAGCTACCGGCCCCCTGCTAGGAACAGTGCAGGAGGAGGAGGAGCGGGGGGCAGCGGCACGGGGGGAGGCGGAGGAGGGCGGGGGCGAGGCAGCAGGGCGAGGGGCGGGCGGTATGGGGGAGCGGCGGGGGGAGGAGCGGGAGGAGAGGAGGCGGACGATGCGTCGGCGGAAGGTGAGAGAGGAGAGAAGGGGGTGGGAGAGTGGGAAGGAAGGGTGGTTGGGGTTGGGGTTGGGGTAGGGTTGGCTAGAGGGAAGGGAAGGGAGGAGGAGAAGAGGTGCCGGGGGGTACGTTAGGCAGGTGCCAAAGACACATCCCTGTAGTATTCTGCCGGCCTGACCCTCCCTCCTCCTGTCATCTTCCCCTCAGCTCCTTCCCCTCCCTCTTCCCCTCCCCATCCTCTTCCCCTCGTGTGTTTTCCGATGGTTCGGTATGGTCCTTGATCCCCCCCTCCTCCCCCTCCCCCTCCCCCCCCACACAGCCCAGCTGGCCGCCAAGCGTGCGGAGGTGCGGCGGCTGTTCGGCCCCGGCTCCCGCCTCCACCAGCTGGTCAGCTGGCTGGGCGGGGCTGAGGGGAAGGACGACTGCCTCATCGTGCTGGACGAGTGCCACAAGGCCAAGAACCTGCTGGACGCGGCGGGGAGTGAGTGTTGGGGGTTTGGGGGGGGGAGGGTGTTATATGTGGACATCTCCTGCACATGTTTGCTCTTCTAATACCCCCCCCCCCTTTCCCCGATTTCCCCCCCCCCCATGCAGACTCCAGCCAAACCGGCCTGGCGGTGGAGTCGCTGCAGGACCAGCTGCCCAACGCACGCGTGCTGTACAGCAGTGCCACGGGGGCCTCGGAGCCGGACAACCTGAGATACATGGTGAGGGAGGGGGGGAGGGGAGAACGATTGGTAGTATAATTTGAAAGACGACGATGCATGGAAGGGAGGGAGAAAGGGAGCGAACGTAATCCTTGGGGAAACCACTCCATTCACATCTACTGACCATCCGCGGCCCCCGTTCCTTGCCTCACAGATCCCTTCCATGTCATAATCCCTTGCCTCTTCCTTCCCCCTCCCCCTCCCCCCCGCCTGCAACTAGATCCGACTGGGCTCCTTCGGCTACCCGCACATCGGGGACATGATCAACGCGCTCAAGAGGTGGGCGGGGCAGGGGGCCGTATGTTTACATACACCTGTCTTGACTGGACTTTATTGACGTGTCTGTGTTCTTTTGAAGTGTAAGAATACCACTCTGCCGGTCGCCACTGTATACACAGCCCCACCACACGATTCTACTAGTACCCGCCCTCTCCTCACTCCACCTCCTCTCCTCTCCCCTCTCTCCTTCCTCCTCCCCACCTCCCTCAATCCCCTCCCCCCCACTCCCCAGGTCGGGTCTGGGTGCACTGGAGATGTTTTGCATGGGGCTGAAGGCCACTGGCACCTACGTGTCCCGTACCCTGTCGTACAAGGGGGCGGAGTTCCGTACGGAGGTGCTGGAGATCGACCCCACCTTCCGGTAGGGGGGAGTGGGCGGATGGGATGGGTTGGCATGATACCGATGCTGGGAGGTGGGCAGCTGGTGGGATGCTGGGCAGCTGGGGGTGGGGGTTTGGTGATGATGGGAGGGGGGGAACTGGTGGGAGGTTCGAGGTACACGCGAGGTATTGAGGGTTGGAGATCCCACCTTCCGGTAGGGGAGTGGGGAGTGGGGTTGGTGGAGGTTTGCATGGTGCAGCATGATGATGATGATGATGCGGCTAGTGATGACGCAAGAGCTAGGGGTTGGTGGGGGTTTGGATGCGACACACAGCTCATGCGTGCTTCTTTGGCTTTCTCTCCCTCATTCTTCCTTCCCGTTGCCCACTTTGTCATACAACGCCTGCACATTTTGTCGTACAATCCAAACCCAATCTAAACCTGCAATCCCCCCCAGTGTGATGTACGACCGCTCCTGTGCGCTGTGGAGCCTGGTGTACAATGTGATGCGCGCACTGCCCAAGACCAAGAACCGCAGCGGGAGGGACATGAAGGCCAGCCTGTTCTGGGGCGCGCACCAGCGCTTCTACCGGCAGATGCTCATCGCGTCAAAGGTAGGTTGGGGGATTTGGTGGTGGGGAGGCGGGATTCTTCGGGGGATGTACGGCAAGGGGCTGTGGCACCTGTACGGCACAGGGACAAGGATACCCAGAGCCATCCCAGATTGCCGCATGAGTTATGCTGCTGCTGGTGCAGCATGGGTTACACATTCCTATATGCGCTTCCCTTTCTCCTCTTCCCCTCCCCGCCTTTCATAATCATCTACCGCTCACCCGCATCGCTCCTTTTCTCCTTCCTGCACTTCCTGCCCTTCCTCTTCTCAAATCTTTAGCAATCGCTTTTCTCTCCTGCACCCCCAGGTCCGGCGCTGTGCCGAGCTTGCTGACGAGGCGCTCCGTCGCGGCATGTGTGTTGTGATCGGGCTGCAATCCACGGGGGAGGCCAACCTGAACAGCGCGCGGGAGGCAGCAGCGGCGGGGGGAGGAGCGGGAGGAGGTGATGAGGAGGGCATGGATGACTTTGTGTCGGCTCCCAAGATGATCCTGCATGTGGGTACATGGAGGGGGGTGGGGTGGGGTGGGGTGGGATTCTGCATGGGGATAGTGCCCGGATGGTATGGGAGTGGGGTGTGGGGATGGGGGGAAGGGTGAGAGGATGGAGGGATGTTGTTGGGTGGGGAACAGCAGCTGCGGAAGGGAGCGAGTTGGGTTTTTGGAAACACGTTGCTGCACGTTAGAGGATGTTACTCGCCTTGCGCCGTGACGCCACCTGTCGTCACCTGCTCCACCTCCCCACTTCCAAACCCACGCCTTTCCCAACCCCCTTCACAACCCCTTCAGAACTTCATCTCCCAGTGGCTCTTCCACTTCAACACTCCGGTGGGGGGCCTCATGCGACAAAAGAAGATGCAGCACCTGCAGAGCGAGGTAGGAGGGGGAGGGAAGGGAGGGGGGAGATGGCGGTAGGTAGGAGAAGGAGTGACACAACTGACTGACCGTGTGATAAGGCGTCAGGGAGGGGGGGGGCGGTTGTTATAAGGGATGGATCTTCCGCACTGGGCTGGAGGTGGAAAGAGGTAGGGGTGCGGTGGAGAGGTGGAGGCGGTGGTGGGGCAGAATGGGTGTGGGCAGGGACAGGGTGCCTGCGTGCGTGTGGCAGCGAGCATGACCCCACACACACACCCCTTCGCTCCCCCCCCTTCTCGCTCGACCCACCCCACAGATCTACCGCGTTTGCCTGGCATGGAAGAACCAGCCCCCAGCTGCCGAGGAGGCAGCCCGCATCGCCCGTACCGCCAGGATAGAGGCGAAGAAGGAGGCGCGCAGGGCGGCGGCAGCGGAGGCTGCCGCCGCTGCTGCTGTCGCTGCTGCTGGGGGGTCGCCGGCGGAGGCCGCCGCAGCAGCAGCGGGGGCAGCGGCGGGAGGTACGGCAGGAGCAGCGGGTACGGGTACGGCAGGGGCGGGGGGCGTTTCGGCGTACGGAGCTGCCGCGGCAGGGCCCAAGCCAAAACCCAAGTATGATGAATTGGATGAGGAGGAGGAGAAGGAGGAGGGGAAGGAAGCGGAGGAGGAGGAGGAGGGCAGCATTGGCGTGTCGGCTCCGGAGTCGGATGAGGAAGAGGAGGGAGGCGCTGCAGTCACCTCTGGCCCTGCTGCTGCTGCTGGCGCGGGGCCTAGCAAGCCAGCAGCTGCTGCCCCTGTTCCTACCGCTGATGCCCCTACCGCCGCTGCTGCTGCTCCCACTACCAGCGACACTACCCGTAGTGGCGACGGCAGTGATGTGGAGGTGGTGGTGGAGCGAACACTGGATGATGTGTTGGCGGTGAGGAGGGAGGGGAGGGAGGGGGTGGGAAGGGGAGGGGAGGGTGAAGGGAAGGGTGAGTTTGGAAGGGACATTGACGAGAGTGGCACGTCCACTCTCTACCTTCGACCCTGACCCTAACCCACCTTATTATCTCTTGTTTCCCTCGCTGCAACCCTACAATCAACCGACCCTTCCCAATCAATCCACAAACGACCACAGGAGCGTCGTCGCCTGGCACTGCTAGCAGGCGACCTCATCGACCTGGTAGATGGAGGCGGAGGAGGGGGGGAGGGCGGCTCGGGCGGGGGAGCAGCAGGGGCAGGAGGCAAGGAGAAGCAGGAGGAGGAGGAGGGGCCGGAGAGCGAGCTGGACAAGGAGCGCAGGCGGCTGCTGGAGCAGGCGGATGCGGAGGAGGTGGCGGAGGCAGAGGCGGCGGAGAGGAGGAGGCGGGAGGAGCGGAGGGGGAGGTTGGAGGCAGCGGTGGTGGGTGTGGGTGGGGGGTCAAGGACCATACCGAACCACAGGAAACCACGGGTCGAGGGTGTGGGGAGGGAGGGTGTGGTGGGGGGGGGGGAGGGGGAGGGGCACCGGTGAAGATACACAACAGCTCCTTCCTGCTCGCATGCCCCACTCTCCCCCCCTCCGGGTACCATATTTGCACCCCATGGTGAAGCGTTGTCGTACAGCTCGTCAGTTTCCTCCTTACCTCACTCCCCCTCCCCCGCCACCCTCAATCCACCCCTTAACCAGGCTGCAGCTCGGGAGGCGGAGGAGGCGGCGCGCAAGGCGGTGCAGCGGTTGGAGCAGGAGGAGGCGGCAGCAGCAGCTGCGGGAGGAGGAGGGGGTGGTGGTGCTGCCGGTGCAAAGGCAGCGGCTGGTGGTGCTGCTGCTAAGCGGGTCGGCAGCGGTGCTGCTGCTGCCGCTGGTGGTGCTGGTGGTGCTGGTGGTGCCGGTGCCCCTAAGAAGGCTGAGAAGGCGGACTCTGCGGCTGCTGGTGCTGGTGGTGAGGAGGAGCTGGAGGAGGATGTGGAGGAGGACAAGGAGGATGCGGGTGGGTGGGGATGGGGATGTGTGTGTTGGGGGGGTCAAAGACCATTCTAAGACTACAGCTTCGGGTGTGGGTGGGGGTTGTTCTGGGCATACAACGCTGCGTGTTTTGGCCCTTTGTATGCGATGCGTCTCGTAACGCGCTTGCAAGTGGTCGTGGTGGAGGGGTCAGGGCCCCGGGCCTGTGCGGGGCTGTGGGGATGATGGGCTATGGCGCCTGCGGGGAACCGCGTTTTTTTCGGTGCCTCTGTTAAGGCTGCACGGCTTTTGGTCTTTGCGTATCCGTGTTGCAACTCACCTCATGAATTCCCTTGCCTTTGCAGGAGGAAAAGGACGCCGCGCACGCCCCGTCGTTCTGGACGAGGAAGACAAGGAGGAGAAGGAAAAGGAGGAGGAAGACGAGGGGGAGGATGGTAGCGAGGAGGATGGTAGCGAGGAGGATGGTAGCGAGGAGGAGGAGGAGGAAGACAACGATGGGAAAGCCGCTGCTGCAGCTGCTGGAAAACGAGGAAAGGGGAAAGGAGGGGAAAAGGTGACGGCGCCCCCCCGGGGCCCGGCTCGAGCGGCTGCTTCCGGCAGCTCAGCGGCTTCGGAGCAACACACTCGCTCGCAGGGTAGGGCAAGGGGGGTGTTCAAACAAAACTATCTGCGATTCGGAACGTACTGTGTGGGCGATTTTGTGAACGTACTGTGAGGAATGGTCGCTGCGTGGGCGGGTGCATGCGGGCTGGGAGGGTTTACGAATGCGTGGCGGCGGCGTCGGGGGGCCCACCGGGGCGTGCGCTGGGTTGCATGTTGGCCAACATCCCTGTTGGTCAACATCCCTGTTGGACGACCCGCCTCATGCGAGTACATGCAGTGCATGCGTTACGATGGACATCTCCTCTAACCTAATACATGCACATCCGCGTTCCTTCAAGTTCCTCCCCTCCCCTTCCTTTTATTCCCTTTCCTATTAACCCTCCCCCTTCCTTTTCCTCCCTAGCCTAATTCGGATTCTGTTTCCAAATTACCCCCTTCCTTTTCACACCCTGTACACCCTTTCAGGCACGGCCAACGTCGCGGGCAGCAAGCGTGCCCGCAGCACTGACGGCCCCACCACCACTGCCACCACCGCCCCCGCCCCCGAGGTCTCCTCCCCCAGCCGCCCCTCCCGCCGCGCCGCTGTCAAAGCCAACCAACGCATCGCCGCTACCAGCACAGGAGCCTCGGCACTGCCACCCAAACCTCCTAAGGGCCCCTCCGCTCCTCCTCCTCAGCCTGCTACTGCTGCTGCGGCTGCTGCTGCCGCCTCAAAAGGCAAGGCGCAGGATGCTAAGAAGGGGAGTGGTGGTGCTGCCGCCGCGGTTGCGGCGAAGGGCGGGGCCGGCGCTGGTAACAAGGGCGGGGCCGGGGGTGCAGCTGGCAAGAAGAAGGGCGGCAAGGCTGAGAGCGAGGAGGAGGAGGAGGAGGAGGGATCCGGGACGATCGTCATCAGCGACAGTGAGGAAGCAGAGGTGGAGCAGGAGGGCACCTCGAAGAAGGCTGCTGGCAAGGGCAAGGCAGCTGCCAAGCCAAACGGAAAGGCGGCGGCGGCTGCTGCTGCAGCTGGCAGTAAGGGCAAGGGCAAGGCGGCGGCGGCTGCAGTCAAGCGGGAGCCTTCCCCAGACGTGGAAATGACGGAGGCGAGCCAGGAGGAGGAGGAAGACGAGGAGGAGGAAGACGAGGAGGAGGAGGAGGCAGCAGTTGCTAAGGGCGGGAAGAAGGGTGGCAAGGCGGCAAGCGACGACAAGGAGGAGGAGGAAGAGGAGGAGTCGGATCAGGAGGGCGAGGAGGAGGAGGAAGACGAGGAGGAGGAGGACAGCAGCTACGATGACACGCTGTGTGCGGTGTGCGGGGGCGGGGATGCGCCGGGCAGCATCCTGCTGTGTGACGGCTGCGATGACGGGTACCACATGCGCTGCCTCAAGCCGCCACTCAAGGTGAGCGGGGGGGTTTAAATGATAAGTAAGGAAGGAGGGAAGGGGGGATTGAGCTGGACTCTTTAAGACACAAGTACAAGGGCAGGCGGGTTGATCTGGACGCGGGGGTTCCTAGGGTTCAAGGGCTATACATAGCAGTGCATACGTCAATGCGGGTCACCTGTCTTTGCCCAAGGGGCCTAACCATGTCCGCTCCTTCCCGGCCCCCCTTCCCCGCTCGCGCCCCCCTCCCCCTCCCCCTTCCCCCTCCCCAGTCCATTCCCAAGGGCGACTGGTTCTGCCCCAAGTGCCTGGCTAGCAAGGGCAAGGGCAAGGCTGGCGGTAAGTGCCTTCCCAATTAGGCAACATGCGACAGCAACATAAAGAAACAGCAGCCAACTTTATGGACCCACAGCCATGCGCCACTCGTATGCATGTTGCTTGCATGGTGGATTACCCTTAGACGGTATAGAGTTCTCGAATGGCCACATTGGGCGGATTCCTCGCCCAGCATCCTCTTGTCACCCCTCTGGTTGTCATGAGGCGTAACAAGCCCACACCCTCCACTTGAATGTCGTATCATGCCGTACCATTATACAGGCTCCTCTTCCGGTGCCACCGCCGCCCCTGCCGCAGCAGCAGCAGGAGGGGGTACCTCTTCCGGCGGCCTCCTCAAACGCAAGGCCTCCGACGCCTCCGCCTCCGCCAAGACCGGGGGCGGGGGAGGCGGGTCCGGGGGTGCTGCCAAGGGAGGTGTGGGTGCTGCAGCAGCAGCAGCCAAGAAGGCAGGAGGAGGCAAGGGAAAGGCCACTAGCAAGGCTTCGACTAAGGAAGATGAAGAGGAGGATGACGAGGACGAGGAAGACGAGGAGGAGGAAGCGCCTGCCAAGCGGAGGAAGACGGGAAGCGGCAAGGCGGTCCCCGGGGCAAAGGGCAAGGCGGTAGGCAGCGGTAAGGGCGGCGGCAAGAAGGAGGAGGAGGAAGAGGAGGGGTCGGGTTCGGAGGCTTCTTCGTCTGAGGAGGATGAGGATGAGGCGGAGGACGAGGACGAGGAGTCGGATGCGGACGACTCGGATGATGACGACTTTGTAACGGGTGGGTCAGAGGGAGCAGCAGCGGTGTGTTGATCGTAAAGTGCTAAAGAGATAAAATGACACTACGGGTATTGTCGCTCGATCACTCGCTCGTCTTGCCTGTCTGTCTGTTGTGTATCTTGCATGCATGCTGGCCTTTAGTCCGGGGGCAGCCCCCTAACCATTCCCTTTGTCCACTTACCGGTACCGCCCGTTGTCATTTACCGCCCATGTTGCATTACCCCCACCCTTGTCCTCCCAATACCTCAGGCGCTGGAGCCACGCGAGGAGGCCGCTTACAGAAGAAAGCAGGGGGGGCAGCAACAGGGGCAGCAGCGTCACGGCCCGGGGCACAGCGCGGCAGTAACGGGGCTGCTGCTGCTGCTGCAACGGGACGCCGTCCTGGAGGTGGAGGCGGAGGAGCGACCCGTGGGTCAGCTGCCGCTCGCATCAAGAAGGAGGATGACGGTGCCGATGACTCCAAGGGTGCTGCGGGGGCTGCGGGAGCCAAGGGCAACGTAGTCAACGTGTTCAAGGTAAGAGGAAGTTCCCGTGTGCTGGGTGCAGCTTTGTAGGTGCTTGTGGTAAGGCTACAGTGAGGGCTGAGGGGCGTGACGAGGTGAAAACGTGACACGTCGTTTCTTCTGTCGTACGTTCGCTTTTGCCGTACATCTTTCCGTACTTTTTTCCGTACAGGTTCGCATGCAGCTTCGAGCAGCTCGCCAGCGTCTCAAGGAAGCCGAGCAACGCCTCGCCAAGGCTCAACGCGAGCTAACCGACTACCAACGGTCAGCCGCCGCCGCCGCCGCGGCAGCCGCGGCGGCAGCAACTGCCAACGGTGGCGGCGGCCGTAACGCCAACGGCGGCGGCATTCGCAATGGCAGCCGTAACAACAGCAGTGCCGAGGCTGCGGGCGGCGGCGTCACTGGTGCTGGCAGTGCTAGTGACAGCGCTACAACCAGTGGCAGTAGCAGCAGCAGTAGCGATGAAGATGAGGATGCGGCTGCCGGCGCGAAGCGAGGGACCCGTGGGTCATCTGCGGTCAATCCCGCGTTGTACCGCCATGCCGCCAAGAGCAAGCCCCTGAAGAAGCTGCCTGGGAGCTGGAAGGCCGAGGGAGACGGCAAGGCGGTGATGGAGGGGAAGCAGGCGGGGCCTGGTAAAGGGCGAGGCGGCGGCGGCGGCGGGGGCAAGGATGCAGTGAAAGGCGGCAAGGGTGCTGCAAAGGACTCTGCGAAGGGCGCTGCGAAGGGTAAAGGTGGAGGAGGGGGAAAAGGAAGAGCCGCTAAGCGGCGGCGAGGCGGCAGCGATGACGATGACAGGTGGGGCTGGGAGGAGGCGACGGCATCAATGTAGGAGATATCGTTTGTAGCCCCATATGGGGGTGGGGACCATGCAACTGCGGTGTAGTTGACCTGCCATCCCTCATCCCCTCGCTCAATTCCTATGCGCCTCGCCCTTCTCGCCCTTCCTTGCATGCCTGTGCAGCGACGACTCCTCGTCTTCCTCCTCTAGCAGCGACGATGACGATGAGGAAGAGGAGGAGGAGGAGGAGGACAACGATGCCTCCAGCAGTGCCAGTGGCAGCCAGGAGGAAGAGGGAGAGGAGGAGGAGGAGGAGGGCGGGAGTGGCAGTGCCGAGGAGGAATCGGGATCGTCGTCGGAATCCGAGGAGTCTGTAGAAGCTGAGGAGGAGGAGGAGGAGGAGGAGGAGGCGGGGGGCGGCGGGGGTCAGGAGGCGGGCGGCAGTGCGCTGCCTCCGGAGCTGCGCAAGTGCCGGGCCATGCTGCTGAGGCTGCTGGAGGCGCAGGAGGTGGGGGGGGGGGGAATTAAGGAAAGCCGACGAACTGAACGACGAGGCTTCACCAAGGGGAGGGGGGAAGGGGAGGCAGGGGGGGTAAATGAACGTGAAGCAACGGAGTCCAAATCCGCAATCCGAACTCATGGCGTTAGCGCATACGGAGGCACTACACGGAGGCAGGGCGGGTAACATGTATGGAGGTGTCCCAACGACGCAGCTGCTGCTGCCAAGAAGGGTGGTGTGCTGCCAGGAAGGGGGTGGTGCAGGCTTGGGGCCTATGGGGCGCTGGGGGTGGGTAATGGGTGGTGGGTACGGACGGTAACGGGTGGTTTAAGAAGCCCTTTCCTTCCTCTTCCACCCGTGCATCGCGCCTGTCCCCTGCATGCTCCTCGCCTCCCCATCTTGTGTTCCCCACCTTGCACCTCCCACCCTTCTCTTCTTTTCCCACCTCCTCCCCTTCTTCTTCACAAACCTCCTCCTCCCTCTCTCCCCTCCTCACCCCCCAGCTCCCCCTGAACCCGCTGGACCAGCTGATCGAGCTGCTGGGCGGCGAGGGGGCGGTGGCGGAGATGACGGGCAGGAAGATGCTGCAGGTCCGCAACGAGGAAGGGCGCATCGTGGTCAAGGTGAGGGGGGGGAGGGGGGGGGGGGGGAGGGGGGGGAGAAGAGGTTAGGGAGGGATGTGGTAGGGGTAAACAGGAGGAGGACCTTGGGGGCGGAGATGGGGAGGGAGGGGGGGCTTGGCAAGCCCTGGGCATCTGCGGAGCAAAAGAAAGCTAGGAATGACCCCCTTCCCCTCCCCTCCTGCCTTTTCTCCATGCAACCACCTCCCCCCCCCCTCTACCCTCCCCTCCCCCCCAGCAACGCCGTGACGACGAGGCCCAGAAGATGGTCAACATGGCTGAGAAGAACGACTTCATGGAGGGTCGCAAGGTGGTGGCCATCATCAGCGACGCGGCCTCCACTGGCATCAGCCTGCAGGCGGACAGGAGGTACGTGAGAGGGAGGGAAGGGAAGGGAGGGAAGGTGGAGGAAGGGAAGGGGAGGAGAGGTGGACGTCATCAGTGATGCGGCGTCTACTGCGATTAATTCGCAGGCGGGCAGGAGATGAGAGGAAACGACGAACTGACCGTGTGATAAGGCGTCGGGGCGTCACCCCGACCCGCCAAGCCCGAGTAGCCAAAAGCCAAGAGGGAGAGAAGGGAGGGAGGTTTGTGTGTGGACAGGTTGGCAGGCTCGTGGTGTTCTTGCTCCTACTCATTTCCCCTCCTCCCTTCCTTACCCCCCATATCTCAACCCCACCCCCACCCCCACCCCCCAGGGTCCCCAACCAACGCCGCCGCTTCCACATCACGCTGGAGCTGCCCTGGAGTGCGGACAAGGCCATCCAGCAGTTCGGCCGCTCGCACCGCTCCAACCAGGCGTCCGCGCCCGAGTACTGCCTGCTGGTGACGCAGTGCGGGGGGGAGTACAGGTGGGGGGGGAGCCGGGGGGGGGGGGGGGGGGAGGGGAAAAGAAGAATACCCAATGTAGGGGGGGAAGGTATAGATAAGTGCAACAACGGAGTCCCAATCCCGAATCCCGGGGGGGGGGAAGGGAGGGATGGTTAGGCAAGTCAGGGGGGAGGGAGGGGTGGTTAACCAAGCTGAGCCGCGGGGACGCTGAGTCCATACTTCCCTCCTTATCCCCCCTCCCCCACTTTTCCCTCGACTCCCTCTCCCTCCCCCCCTCTCCCCCCGCCCCAGGTTCGCGGGTGCAGTGGCCAAGAGACTGACCTCCCTGGGAGCGCTGCTGCGGGGGGACCGGCGGGCGCTGGGGGCCTCCTCGGACCTCAAGCCATTCGATGTGGACAACAAGTAAGGAGGGGGAAAATTATAAATAAGTGCAACAACACAATCCCAATCCCGAATCCCGACTCACGCAGTGAGCGCATAAGGAGGAAGGAGGGGGGGGGAGGAAGGGTTAGAGGTAAAGCAAGGCGAAGGAAAGTTTGCGCATGTTGGGCCAAGGCAAGGCAAAAGGGAGAGGAGGCGCTTGTGTGGGGTTCTGAGAGAGGGGCTCTGTGGGTTGCTTTAATCGCGGGTTGGTAGGGTGCTGTCTCCCTCACGCATTACCCCCTCCCCCTGCCGCCTCCTATCCCTATTGCTTTGCCCTAACCTGTGGTTTCCTATGGTTTGGTATGGTCTTTGGCCCCCCTCATTCAACACCTTGGGATTCTTCTTTCCCCCCCTCCCTCCCCTCCCTCCCTCCCTCCCTCCCCCCCAGGTACGGCGAGCAGGCTGTTGGCCGGCTGCTGGAGTGCGTTGCCTCGGGGCACCACACGGTGGCGGGGGCAGCCACGGGGGAGCTGCCGGCGGAGCTGCTGCCGCCGTCGGTAAGAGGGGTAGGGGGGGTAGGGGAGGGGTGGGGGGGGGGCATGGAACTGTATGGGAAGGGGGGTGGGGAGGTGATCCAGGAGGTGTGCCCTTAGGCGGGTGCGTGCCTCCTTACCGTAGGGGGTAGTGGCTCCACAGGGGGCAGGCTCCGCAGTACCTGCCAGGGGGGGCTGCGGTGGCGGGGCCCGGAGTGCTGGGCTATAGCCCGCCGACGGTGTGGCGCTGGCGCTTATGGCCCTAGGTGCCCTCTTTGGCGGATTCCCGGGAGGGTTGGGCAGCAGCGGCACGCCGGGTTTTGCGGAGGGCATCATACCCGGGTCTGGCGCTAACGGACGTCCGTTAGCACCAGACCCGGGTATGATGCCGGCGCCACAGCGGCGGCAGCTTCCTGCCCGAAGGGGGCCGGCATCATCGCTGTGGCCGGCGCAGCGATGAAACGTCGAATCCACCAATTGGTTTTTCTCCCCCTGCCCCCCATCTTTCCGCTCCCCAAATTCCCCCTACCTCTCTCCCTGTCTCACTGCCGCATATCTCACTCCCCCTATCTCCCCCCCTAACCCCAGGTTGCCGCCACCCCGGTCGGCAGCATGCACCGCCAGAGCGCGTTCCTGCAGCACATGCAGCGCTGCCTCAAGACCATGGGGCTGCTGCAGGAGGGGAGGTGAGGGAGGGGAGCGGGGGCCAAAACCATACCAAAGGGGGAGGAGAGGGGTGTGGAAGGGTGCTAATGGGGTTAGGCTGTAGGGGTTCGCATCATGGCAATCATGAGGCGGGTGGGTGGGGTGGGGGCAGACCGTAGGGTCGTGTGTGAAGAGGCACGCTGCACGGAGAGGAATGGGTCTGGTGGTGTGGAGAAGGGGTGTGTCTGACGTGGCATGGGTAGTTGCAGTGCGCTTTCTATGCATTTCACCTTTCCGTGACCTCCTTCTCTCGCCCCCATAAACTTACGTTCCCCAAACGCACCTCCCACACACGCGTGGTCTCCCTCCCCCCCTCCCCTCCCCCCTTCCCCCCCCCCCTCCCCTCCCCCCCTTCCCCCCCCCCTTCTCAGCGGCTACTTCATGATTGACCGCAAGGACAGCAACACCTCTGTGGTCAAGTTCCTGAACCGCCTGCTTGGGCTCACGCTGAGGGACCAGGACCTGCTGTTCAAGTGGGTGTGTGTGAGGGGGAGGGGAGGGCAGGGGTAGCAGGGGAGGGGGGGGGTGAGGTAGCAGGGGAGGGGGGGGGGTGAGGTAGCAAGGGCAGGGGGGGGGATAGGCGGGCATGGGAGGCAAGGCTGTCGAATGGGAGGCGGGGGAGGCTTGGGGAGAGGGTCTTCCGTTTAGGAGCCTGCTCGCGTGCATAGGAGCCTGCTTTAATCCCCGCCTGCCTCCCCCCCCACTATATCCCCCCTCAGGTACTTCCTGAGCATCATGGACAGCCTCATTAAGCAGGTGGGGGGCGGGTTGTGGGAAGGGTAGGGGTGGAAGGGGTGAGGGCAAGCAGGGGCCGAGGAGAGGGGAGAGGTGTCCGGTGCAGCCTTTACTGCACATGTTTGCGCGGGCACGTTTCTTCACCCTCGTTTCCCACCTTTCACCCTCGTTCCCTCCCGCCTCCCTCCCTCCCACCCCCACCCCCCCCCCCCCAGGCTCGCTCCGCGGGTGACTACGAGGAGGGCATCCTGAACCTGGCCAACAGCCGGGTCAAGGTGGCGCATGAGGAGGTGGTGCACAGGGACAGGGAAACAGGTAAGGGGGGGGGGGTTTGAGAGGAAACGGCAAAGCAATGGGTATGAAAGGGGCCAGATGAAATTCCCCGCCCTTCTCGCCTCCTTCACCCTCCCTCCCCACTGTCCTCCCTCCCTCCCTCTCCACTGCTCCCCCCACCCAGGCGCCGCCACCTCCTGCCTGGAGGTGGAGGTGGACGACGGGCTGCCCTGGGGCGAGGCGGTGGGGGCCATGGAGGCGGCACTAGCGGACATGCGGGCGGAACAGGCGCCGCCGCAGTTCATGGCAAAGGTAGGGGGGTGAGGTGGGGGGATGGGAGTTGAAAGGAGGAGACTGACAAGCTGTACGACGAGGCGGGGAGGGGGGGCTGAGATGTTATTATCCTCCGGGCAACTACGGTCAGGGTCAGTGTTTCCACGGCTCAGTTCATCTAATCCCCCTCCGCCCCCCCTCTCCCCTCCCCACCTGTCCCCCTCTCCCTGCCTCCCCCCTCCCCCTCCCCCCCCAGGTTGGGTTCTACGTCGCCCGTCGCAACCCCAACGTGGGCGGCACGGGGCACCCGCTGGTGGTGCTGGCCACTGCCCTGAGGTCCACCGTGACGGGAGCCGGGGGGCGGCCGGTGATGCGGTTCAGGATACAGCGGCCCAACCAGGTAAGAGGGGGGAGGGGTGGTGGTGTAGGAAGAGGGGGCAGGATACAGCGGCGCTGTAGGGGAGGGGAGGGATGGTGGTGGGGTGGGGTGGGGTTTCAAACGGATTGCCCTTTCGGGCGAAGGAAGGAGGACAAGGCGATGTGCTTTTTGTTCCTGTCTGCTGTACAAGTTAGCTCCCGTCCCTCCTCCCCACTCTCCCCCCCCCCCTGCCGTACAGATCAAGGGCCACGTGTTCAGCGCTGCCGAGCTGGACGAGAAGTACCGCAAAGTGGACTTGGAGGTGGGGGGGGGGGCGCGTGAGGGGGGTGGTGATGGGGGGGGGTTTGAGAGGGGTAGTGGGAGGGGCGAGGGAGGTGCCTGGCTCTGCATTAATGGTAGACAGGAAGAGCTGTAATCTTGCATGCTGCCACCTCCTCGCACTCATTCACCTAAACACAACCTCATCCTCTGCCTCTCTCACCCTGCACCCGCTCCCCCTCCCCCCCCTCCCTCCTCACAGACCGGCCAGCGCCACTGGCAGTTCTGGTACGACTACCTGGACCGGGGCTGTCTGCACGGTAACGACTGTGTACGGCGGCGGCGGGAGGGCAAGTGCAGCTACGGCTCGCGCTTCTACCGGCTGCACTTGGTGGCAGGGGCGGTGCTGCCGGTGCTGCGGCGGCTGTTTGAGACGGTGCAGCGGAGCGGCAAGAAGACGGTTCCGCGGGTGGCGAGGGTGACGATTCGGGAGGAGGGGGGGCAGAAGAAAGAGGGAGAGGAGGAGGGGGGTGAGAAGGAGGAGGAGGAGGAGGCTATGGAGGTGGATGGAGGGGCGGCTGCGGGGCCCTCTACTTCAAGTGGGACGGCCGCGGGTGTGGTGGTAAAGAAGGAGAAGGAGGCGGGCGGCAGTGCGGGTGGGGCAGGGGGTTCAGCAGGAGGAGGAGGAGGTGCTAGCGGCTCCCGTGCAGGTGCTGCTGCGGGTGCTGGTGGTGCTCCCGAGGCGACGACACGTGTGGTGGTGGGTCTGAGTTTGCTGGAGAGGGATGCGGAGGCGTTCCTGGCGGCAGTGAAGGGGTAGGGAGGGGAGAGGTGGGGGGAGGGGGCGTGGGGTGGGAGGGGTAGGGGAAAGGAGGATGACGGGAGGGGGAGGGACAGAGAGAGTGTATACAGGGAGAGGACACGCGCCTAGGTGGTTGTGGTGCGGTGTGTGGTACCTGTAGTGTTGGTAACAGTTATTCCTTATGAGGACGAGTGGAAGTTGTGTACGTCGATTGGTGTGGCTTGGGCTTTGCTGGGTGGTGCCCAAGCAGAAGAGAGGCAATGGGGTTTGTGTGGAAGTAACGAGTTGACCATCAGTGAAGTAACCGTGAGCGAGCTTTTCTATGTTGACGCGTTTCTTACCGTTATGGGTCTTTTGGGGGGCTGGGATTCATAGCTAGGGGGGCTCCTGTCGGTTGGAGGGGTTGGAGTGGAGGAGGGAATGGTTGCTTGGTACCGGAGTTACGGAGGTATGGTGTCCCCTACATTGGCACTGGTTTGGTAGTCCTGTTGTTGGATGGTGAGGGAGGGGCAGGGCAGCAGCAAACTGTTTCCCCTGTGCATGCACCGCACCGTGTCTCGAACGACACCCCCCCCCCCTGCATGGAGAGAGTGGGCTGCATGGAGTAAACAAGAAACCCAGTCACGCGCACATCTCGCACATGTGATATGACAATACCGGTATCTTCTGTGGCTGAATATGTTGGCTGATTTTGGTGGAGGTTGGCTTTGGACCAGGGCTGGTATAACGCAAGGTACTCTGCACGGCATGATCGCCGTACATACATGTTTGGTGCCGCAGGGGCTTGACTGCTGGTGTCTCTCAAGCGATTGCGGGTTCTCCGTTGGGTATGCAATTGTTGAAATAGAACTTCAAGGGGTGGTTTCTCAGGCATTGGGGAAAGGGCAGGGAACCACCAGGTTCCGCTGGTGGTGGTATGCTCGCGTGGCCAAGGTGGATGACCTAACTGCTGGAAGTGCTCAAACATCGATCGCTTTTTAGGCTTGTAATGTGGAATGATACAAAGTATTAATTTAGCGCGTTCAGGCCTAAAAGCGCGACAAGCGCAACGGTTGATGCACGCGAGCCACATGCTAAATACAGCTGTCGCTAGGTCCGCGTCTACGGGTAAAGATGGAGCTCGGGAGCGGCAGATGACAACCAGTCAAACTGGAGATTATGTGGCGCGAGAGGTTCGCCCGGGGGTTATCGATTTGAGCGTTGGTCAGGTGATTGGAAGCATCGACAAGGACAAGCGCTGCAACAGTTGATGCAAGAGTACTTCCTCGTTATGCGAATCAGGTAAAACTGGCAAAGTGCTTTGCAGCCGAGTCCGTCCTCGCTTCCGCTAAATGCCATGGCAGCTGCTGCTGCCCATCGTCTGGGCTCACCCGACGCTGAACTTCTACTGCAGTGAGTTTTCTGATACGAAAAGCTCCAATGCACACCGAGCTATCAGTTGGCGCCACCTACCCTACATAGCTGGGAGGCCCGTATGGAGACGTACGGCTTTTTCCTGTGCCGTACGTTTCTAACCCCTGTCTAGCTGCGTTGCACTACGACCCACGGTTTCACCACGGACGGCTATCAGACTGCCGTCGTTGTTATCGACGTTCGGCTCGACTGACTTGCCTCCATTCGTCAAGGGCCTCCATAACGGCTTGCCGCTATCGTTACTAACCTTTCCCGCCAGGTACGGCCCCCGGCAAGGTTACCGCTCCTTTCGCAGCAGCCTGGCCGCCTTCCTGTCGCAACGGTACGGCAGCTCCGTGGATCCAGACCACCTCATGGTGACAGCAGGTACGGCAATACGGCAGTACGACAAGGATACCGCCTGCCCCGTTGTAGGGGTACTAGTAATAGTCGTAGACTAAATTGTTGTTAAGGAATATGACGGCGACACTCGTTCGTATTAAGGATGGTAAATAATTGACTTCTGGTTCGTACTTGTACGGCACTCGCGATCCGTACACGCAGGTGTTTCTCACGGATTGGATCTGGCGGTTGGTGCGTTGAGCCGCCCGGGCGACATGATTGTCGTGGAGTGCCCAACCTACTTCCTCGTAACGCCCATCTTTCGGGATAACAACCGCCTAACGGTTGTTCCCATGCCAACCGACACTAACGGTTTGGTGGTGGAGGAGTTGGAGCGCTGGCTGGCAGCGGATCCCTCGCACAGGCAAGCAGGCGGCGAAAGGCAGGGAAAGGGGAAAGGGAGTGTATGTCGTGCCCCATCCTTGGCTCGTGCAGTTTGTAGTCATAGGTAGGTCAAACCAGTGCTGGGGCACGACATAAGCGCAAGTACCGCCCACGAAACTCCTCCTCCCCCCTTCTCTCTTACCTCCCCCTCTCCCTTCCCCTACCTCAATCCCTCGCTCCCCCCTCCCTCCCTCTTTCACACCTTCCAGGCCCCGCCTGCTATATACCATCCCCATCCACAACAACCCGCGTGCCACCACCCTGCCCCCGGAGAGGCGGCGGCTGCTGCTGCGGCTGGCGCACCGCTACGGCTTCCAAGTGCTTGCAGATGAGGTGTACCAGGTGGGGTCCGGGGTGAGATAGCACAAGATGGGGGGTGTTTTATATAGCTGTACGGAAACTGTACGGGCTGATTGGGATTAGGGAGGGTTCGAAATACCGGTAGACCGAAACATAGGAGAGTAAAAAAATAGGGCAAAACAATGGTGGAAAGAGGCGGCAGGGTGCCATTAGAGTGATAAGACAAAGGGTTTCGGGGGGGCTTCAGGGGAGTGGGGGAGGCCCGAGAAGTGAAGCCTGCCACCTTACCCACGCTCTTTCGCTCCCTCGCATTCTACCTGCCCCATCCCGTACCATCCCGTACCGTACCCTGCCCTCCTATGCACCCACATCCACAACTGCTCAGCTGCTGAGCTTTCCGCCGGAAGAGGACGAGGCGCACACCCGCAGCGGCCCCTCCTTCGCCTCCTCCTCCTCCTCCTGCTCCGCGTCCTCCTCCTCGTCCTCCTCGCTGCCGCTGCCGCTTCGCTGTTACGAGGAGTGCGACCCACGGGTCAGTCGGGTCATCTCATTCGGCTCCTTCTCCAAGATCCTGGCGCCCGCTCTGAGACTCGGGTGAGTGTGGGTATGAGCGTGAGCCTGTGTGAGGAGCTTCTTCGTCTTCTCCTCCTCTTCTGAACTCCACTCCGCTACCTCCTCAAGTGTTTAACCCAACTTACCGGTATACGGTTACCTCCAAGCCTCAACGGGTGGTGGTGTCTGGGTGTCTAAGTTGGTACGGGGCATTGGGAGCTTCTCGGTTTCTTCTTCACTACCCCTCTACCCATTACCCCTCTACCTCCCCCATGCATGTTACCCTCCATCCCTCCCACCCACCCACCCAGCTGGCTGGAGACCCCCCACCCCGGCCTCATGGAGAGGTTTCGGAGCGACGGGGTGGTGGGCAGCGGCGGCTGCATCGCGCAGCTGGCAGCGGGCCTGGCGCACAGTGCACTAGAGCTGGGGCTGCAGGTGGGGGGGTGGGGGTTGTTTGCATGGGGGTGGTGGTGTGTGGGGGTGTGGGGTGTGGGGAGGGGATCTACTATCCACACTCTTTGAACATGTGATGTCGTCAGCTTTTCAGCCCCATCGCTGCCTCTTTGCTCCTACCCTTCCCCTACCATTCCTCCTGACACCCCTCTTACCACCTCCTCCCGCCTCCCCTCCCCGCCCCTCCCCGACCCCTCCCAACCCGCCCCCAGTCCTCCCACCTGGACACTGTCGTACGCCCCACACTGGCCTCACGCTGCCGTACACTGGTGGCGGCCCTGAGGCGGGAGGTGCTGGGGGGAGGCGTGGAAGGGGGGGAGGCGGCGGGGGGTGAGGGGTGTGGGGGTGTGGGAGGAGGTGGAGGAGGAGGAGCTGGCGGGGTGGGGGTGGCAAGGGGATGGAGGCTTGTGGAGCCGCGGGGCGGGTACTTTGTGTGGCTGGAGCTGGGGGAGGAGGTGAGGAGGGGGGAGAGGGGAGGGGAGGGGCGTGGGAGGGGGGAGTGAGGGAGGAGGGCGGGAGGGATGAGGGATGTAAGGGGGGGGGGTGAACGCGTGTGTCTTAAGAAAACTGTCTTAAGGAAACTGGCCGCGAGTCGGCATAGTGTGTGGCATAGTCAGGGCAGGACGGGGCCCCTTTGTGCCATCGATCCCTAACCCGCAACTCTCTTCACCGGTCCCGCAACCTTCCTCCCCCCCACATGGCTCTTTTTCCTCCTTTCCCTGCCTCCCTCCCCCGCATCTCTGACCCCCCGCAGATCGACACTGCCGTGCTGCTGCGTCTCGCAGAGCAGCGGTTCGGGGTCCGATTCACGCCGGGAGCAGCGTGTGGAGGCGGCGGGGTGCACTGCTTGAGGCTGGCCTTCTCGTTCTACAACGAACAGGTGGGGTGGTCGGGTTCCGGTGCTGGGAAGGGGGTGGGGGAAAGGCGGTGGTTGTGGTGGTTGTGGTGGAGGGGGCGCCGTTCTCCCTACCTGCTGTCACGAGCAGAAGGCGGTCAATCTGCGGGGTCTGCTGGGGAAGGGAAGTGCACTAAGTGGAGGGCACGAAGCATTGGAGCGAGCATCCACTGCCACTGGCGCTGTTAGCAGGAGTAGCAGGAGTGGCCGCTTCTCGCCGATGTGTCGTACATGATCTGTCGTACACAGGAGCTGGAGGAGGGGGCGAGGCGGCTGGGGGCGGCGATCAGAGAATACCTCCGGCAGCTTCGGCAGCAGCAGCAGCGGGAGGGGCAGGAGGAAGAGGGGCAGGCGGCAGCTGAGACGGGGCAGCAGCAGCCTCCTGCTGCTACTGGCAAGCTGTAGTTTGCTAGTAGTAGCAGCACCAGTAGTGTGGCAAGCACGATGGAAGAAGCCATATTAAGAGTAGCTATGCATATTAGGGTCGTGCCTGTGAGTGCGACTGGAGTTGCGTGTGCATATGCCGTACAGGCAGTACGTGTGGCCATGTGAACATCCTCCATCCTGGTTAGTACCGGTTACAGTTACCGGTGTGTGCTTTACATGTGAGAAGGCCTATGTTGTGAGGTTTGGTTTATTGATCGTGCATAGCTAGCAGGATCAGACGTTGGCTTGCACAGCCGTGGTCTTTAAGAAGACTAACAGACGGGCCTCCACATACGTCCTTCTCCTGCTTAGGCGAAAGCTTTATTCAGTTTTTGCCGTTTGTACCTTTCACTCACGTTAAACCATGGGATAGCTCCTAAAGGGAGGTCGCGCTTTACCAATCCATTGCAAGGATCCCTTGAAGCAAGGTTAACAGAAACATGAGTTTCGCGTTTAAGCGCTTTAATTTCTTTCAGCCGCATCAAGTTGCTCGCCATGGGTTCCCACCTAACGCGAGCTGCGTAGTGCCGGGCGGGCCATTGCTCTGGGTCGGGACGGAGTCCGGCAGCGTTTGCGTACTGGATTCGCGGCTATCCTTGATCGGATCTTTCAACGCCCATGGGCATAAAGTTCAGGAGGTGTTATGGCTCGAGGTGCGCCAGGGATGTGCTAAGATGTTAGCGATGGGACCGCGTCGCATGTCATTCAGAGGCGAATGATACATATATAGTCGATACGGTTGTAGCGCATTGCCTTATGCACTGCTAAGATCATCAAACATTTTTTCCTGAAACAACCCTTGACACTGCAATCCCTATCCAGTGCGAGCGCCGCGTCTTGCTAACCAAAGATTACTGACTTGCATATGAGTTGTCCATTCATGCACACTTCAGGTCCGCCTTCGTGCCGCTGGCTGGATCCACTTGCCTTGCAACACCACACCCTAACATCCCGACTACATTCACGCAACAGCCACCACACCAGCCTAGACCGTGTCCTTCCTACACCTCCCAACCCCCCTCCCAACCTTCCCCAACGCTCCCCACCCTACCCGCAGCGGCGGCAGCTGCTCATCACGGTGGGAGTGGAGGAGCCCGGCTGCTCCTCCACCACCGTCAAGCTCTGGCCCGCGGAGAAGCTGCTGGCGCTGCAGGCCGCTGCGGCTGCGGCAGCAGCAGGCGGGGCTGCCGCTGCAGATGGGGGCAGCGGCAGCAGTGGCAGTGGCAGTGCTGCTGCCACTGGTGGAGGACTAGCGGGTTGCATGGCAGCTATCAAAACTACCAAGGCAAGGATTGGGGGGAGTGGGGGGCGGGGGGTGGGGTTAGGGTTAGGGGGTTAGTAGGATAGGGGATACATGGTTGGAGGAAAGGGAGCGTGGGTGGGTGAAGAAGGAGGAGGAAGGCGAAGGATAAACCCTCCTCTTCTCGCCCTTCCTCGCGCCCACTGACATCACCCCCCTCTCCCCCCTCCACATACACATACACACACGCACACGCAGGTGTTTGGTTCCCACGGTGGTCAGCAGTACCCCGAGTCGCCTGTCACAGCAGCAGCCGCAGCCGAGGGAGGGGGAGGTGGTGGTACGGCAGGGGCAGGAGGAGGAGGAGGTGGCAGTCTTGCCCATAGCTCCTCCTTCGGGGGAGCTGCGGGCAGCAGCAGCAGCAGCGCTAGCACCTTGCTGCCTTCAGCTGTTGGCAGTAATGCTGCTGCTGCTGCTGCCGGTGCATTGCCAGGCAGCAGCGGCGCCGCTATCGACGGCCTTGCTAGTGGTGCTGCTTCTACATCTGCTGCTGCTGCCGCCTCCCCCACCCACCTAACGGTGGCGCTGGGTCTAGCCTCGGGCCATGTGGTGGTGCTGAGTGGGGAGGTGCCGCCGCAGGGTGAGGGGGGGGGGGAGGGGGAACTGAGAGGAGGAGGAGGGAAAGGAAGGGAGGGGTAGTTGGAAAGGAGTCTGGGAGGGGAGAGGGGCTGCTAGGTTTGCAGTCGAGGACTGTGCTGATCGCCAGTTGCTGCTGCTTCCTCTGTGTTTGACATGCTCCAACCCCTTCCTCCCCCTCCCCCCTCCTCCCCTCCCCCCCCAGGCTCCGGCGGTAAGGCGCGTCTGTCGCACTGGCGGCGCCTGAGTGTACGGCCCGACTCGGGGGACATGTGGAGCGTGACAGGGCTGGAGATAACGGGTATTTCGTGGGGGGGGGGAGGGGGGGAGAGGGTTACGCGGGTAGCACCTGTGCTTACCAACTTGTTCGTCTCCCCCTCACCCCCCTCACCTTCCGTCGCCCCTCACCTCTCCCCTCAATTCCCCCCCTTTTCCCCCCTGCTCCACCCCCTCCCCAGGCACCTCCGACCTGCAGTCGCTGTTTGTGGTGACGGAGAGTCAGACGCTGAGCTGCCACCTGCAAACAAACACGAAGGTGGGGTGGGTGGGTGGGGAAGGGCAGGGGAGGGGAGGTACAAGATGGTGACTCTGGGGGTTAATAGGGATGAAGATTCAGCATGAAGCTGGATAGTTGGGGGAATGTGGGGGCGGTGGGGAGGGGGAGGAGGCGGGGAAAAGAAGATCCTATGTGTTGAGGGCTGAGGGCCGGAGGTAAAGGGACAAAGGGAAAGACGTTCAAAACATTTCCAACCACCGCTAACCCTCACGCAAACACTACTCCCCCCCCCCGCCCCCATGCACAGACGGTGTTGGACCCGCAGGGTAGCTGCAGCCCCCGCTGCTGCTGCCTACGACCGGGGGGCGCGTTGCTAACAGTGGCTCGGGCGGAGGTAGGAGGGGAGGGGAGGGGAGGGGAGGGAGTAGGGGTGGGTAGGGGATGGTGATGGGATACCGATATGTAGCATGTGGTGGGGTGAGGTGTTATGTGGTGTGTTAAGAAAACTGGCCGCGAGTAGGAACGTACAGGGATGTGGTGTGTGTGTGCTTGTGGGGGGGGCGCTCTAACACGTGCTTTCATCTGGTTTGGTTTCTTCTCCCCCCCCTCCCCCCACCTCCCCAAACTAGAACAGTGGCTCCGTATGCGCTAACTGCATGGAACGGGTTATGGGATTGGGACGCCAGTTGCGTCACTTCTCGTTTCCTCCCCTCCCCCCCCTCCCCCTCTCCCCCCCTGTCAGGGTCTGTACGACTACACCTCCGACACCCGAGCGGGGTGTACGGTGTTCGAGGGGGTCAAGCAGCGGCTGGGCACCTTCGGGCGATATCTGCTGGTGGTGAGGGGGGGGGGAGGTGGAGGGGATGGGCTAACTAGGTTGGTAGGTAGGGAGGAACTAGGGGGGAGGGGAAGGGAAGGGGACGGAGGGCGAGGGCGAGGGCGGGGGACAGCCCGTTACGAACTATGACGACCTCCCCATTCACATCAACCCCAATATCGGTACCCCATGTACGTGACCCCGTCCCCATCCCCGTCCTCACCCCCACCCCCCCTTCAGGTCACCCGTGAGGACAGCGCCTCCGTCGCCTCCTCCGCCTCCACCTCCGCCAACCTGCTCTCCAGCAGCGGCACGGGGGGCGGGGGCAGCCTGGGGCTGGGAGGGGGCTTTGCGGGAGGCATGGGGGGCATGGGGCCAAATGCAGGAGGCATGATGGGGGGAGGCAGCAGCAGTTGCCTTCAGTTGGCGGATGTACGGACGAAGCTGCTGGCGGGGACGTTCGTACTGCCGGGGTTGCAGCATGTGTTTTGTGCATGGGGTGCCGTACACGCCGTGACAGGTATGGCGGGGGGGAGAGGGGGGTGTTGGGGGTTTGGGTTGGTTGGGAAGGGTGTTGGGAATGGGGTGCGGTGGGGTGGAGTCCAAGCCCGGTGATCTCTACCACGCAGGAACCTCATCCTCAAGGCTCATTGACACGTTTTTGCTAGTACTGCCCCCTTCCCACCCCTGTCTTGTGGCACCCTGCCGCCTCTGTCCCCTTTGTCCTACCCTCCCTTGTGGTTTGGTGGTATTTTCCCCTTTCCCTCGCTCCTCCCTGCCTATCCCTCCCTCCTAACCCCTCCCTCGCCTCCCCCCGCAGCCTCCGGAGCCCTGTGGTCCTATCGCGAGATCGACCTGGCCTCACAACTGGAGGTAGGGTGTACGGCAGGTGAAGAAAAATGTAAAACCGTACGGCAGCCTGTATTTCATCGTACGGCAATGAATTTGACAATGCGAAGTACTGCTGAGTGAACACAGTAGTGGTAAAGCAGTTTTCTCGACCTTGTTTTCCCTCCCTCTCCCCCCCTCTCTCCCCCCTCTCCCCCCTTCCCTCTCCTTCCCCCCGTAAGGCCCTGCTGCGCCGCTCGCTTCACAAGCTGGCTCTAGACGTGGCCCGGGGCTGGTGGGGCGGCCAGCAACACCACCCCGGGGGGGCAGCGGGGGCGGGGGCGGGGGCGGATGCCGCGACTCTGGCCGCCATACACCAGCGCTGGGGCGACCATCTGTACGGCAAGGTAGGGCTGTGGTATGAGAGTTTGACTCATGTGGGCTAATATCCTAATACCGGTTTCATTAGCGTACGACACATTCGTTTGTACGGTGCGGTGTCGCCCCTCCGCCGCCACCGCCGCCACCGCCAGGCCAAAACATGCAAAATGCACCCTCCCCAAACTACCCCCATTGCTTTGCCCTAACCTGTGGTTTGGGTACATCCCCCCCCCTTCCCCCCACCATCACACCACACATTGGGAATTCCTCTTTCTTTCCACCCCACCACCACCCCAGGGCGAGTTCGATGCCGCCATGACGCAGTATCTGGAGACGGTTGGGCAGTTGGAGCCCTCGTACGTCATCCGGCGGTTCCTAGACGCACAACGCATACACAACCTGACCGCATACCTTGAGGTCATGCATGAGCGGGTAGGGGGGGTGGGAAGTGGGGGGGGGTGGGGATGAAAGAGGCGGAAAATGACATGGTGGGTTGGGGCTTGGGGTGGAGGGGTGGCGGGTGTAGAGGTGGGGTTTGGGGGGGGGGGGGTTGGGGAAGAAATGTGGAGGCATGGGATGCCTTTGCACGGTGGTAAGGATGCAGAGCCGCATGTGTGGGCGCTGTAGCGGCGATGTGTGGACGCACCTGCTGCTTGTCCCCCATGGGCCCTTTGACTGCCTGCCTGCCTCCTAGCCTCCCGTTCGATGACCGGTACCCTCGTTCATTGTTTACCGTGTACGGAGGGTCGTGTGTCAAACCAGGCCTCGCTTTACCCCTCCCTCCCCTCCCTCCCTTCCCTTCCCTCCCTCCCTTCCACCCCCCCCCCTTTCCAGGGCCTAGCCACCTGCGACCACACCACCCTGCTCCTCAACTGCTACACCAAACTGAAGGTACGGCGAAGGGGGGGGGTGACGTGGAGGGATGTACGGGGTTTGTGTGTGGGGGGGTAAACAAGCGAGCAGGTGCGCATGGGGGCAGAAGGAGTGCCGAACACAAAAGGCAAAGGAGTTTCGCCAGCTGAGAGATCCAAACTGGCTCCAAACTGGGGTTCATGGTCCCCCAAAGCCCCCCCACCTTTCCCCAGTTTACCTTTGTCAAACAACACATTGGGTATTCTTCCTTTCCCCCCTCCCTCCCGTCCTACTCTCCCCCCCTATTCGCCCCCCCAGGACGTATCCAAGCTGGACGCCTTTATCCGGCGGGGTGGAGTGGGGGGCGGGCCGCTGGGTGGGGGGGCAGGAACAACAGGGGGGGCAGCAGGAGCAGGTGACACTGGCACTGGCACTGGCAGCCGGGGAAGCGGTTCTCGAGGGGGTTCGGGTGGGGGAGGACGTGGAGGTGGGGGAGGTGCAGGTGCAGGTGGGGGGGTCAGTAAGACCCGGCGACACCTTACCTCCGGCATTGCCGCTGCTGCTGCGGAGCGGGAAACGGAAAAGGAACGGTCCACGAAACCGCAGCTCCCTCCATCCAGGCAGCAGCAGCAGCAACAACACGTAACCTCCTCCTCCACCTCCACCACCACCACCACCACCTCCACCACCACCACCACCACCACCACCACCACCTCCACCCCCCCAGCTGCCCCCCCGTTGCGGTTTGACGCCGACACGGCGGTGCGAGTGCTGCGGGGGGCGGGGTACGCGGAACATGCGCTGTGGGTGGCGGATGCGGCGGGGCAGGTGAGGTGGAGGGGGCGGGGCGGGGGGAGGTGGGTGGGGGTGGGGCGGGGGGAGGTGGAGGGGGCGGGGCGGGGGGAGGTGGGTGGGGGTGGGGAAAGTATATGAAAGGTGAAGCGGAAGGGGAGGGGGGAAGGGCAGGGGGGAAGGGGAGGGGGGAAGGGGAGGGGGGAAGGAGGTGCCGCGTGCAATCGACTGAGCTGGTCGCATGTGCCTCTGCTTGCTTGCTCACACCACTCTCCCTCCCCTCTCCTCCTTCTCTCCTCCTCTCCCCCCCCCCCCCCACCCCGCCAGATCGATGCCGTCCTGGACATTCTGCTGGACGAGCTGGGCGATGGCGAGGAGGCGATTGCCTTCCTGGAGACACTGCCACGGAGGAGGTGGGGGGAGGGGGGGAGGGGGGTTTTAAAGAGGAAACAATCAACTGACCGTGTGTGGGGGAGGGGGCGATGTGATGGTGTGTGGGGGGCGTGTGGGGGGTAAGGAAGAAGAAACAGACGAGGAGTGGCGGGCGTGTGGAGAGGGGTAAGACACATGGAGTAGGACAGGACGTCGGAGCAGCTGGGGTTGTCCCTCCCTCTCTCCCCACCATCCCCCCAACCCAATCCCCCTCCCCCTCCCCCTCCAGGCGCGCCGAGGCGCTGCAGCGCTACGGTCGCTCCCTGATCGCTCTGTTGCCCGAACAGGCAACCCGGCTCATCATGGACCTCTGCTGCAGCCCGCCACCCGGTGAGATATGGGGAAGAGGGGGAGGGAAGGGGAGGTAATGGGGATTGACGCTATGATTTGGTGTGGTTTCCAGTCAAATTCCAGACACTAATCCCGGCTTCTATCTTTTTTTCACTCTAGTTCCTCTCACCCTTCCCCTGTTTTCCCCCTCCCCCCACCCCTCCTCCTGCAGACACCTCCTCCCCCTCCCAAGCCCCCTCCCCCTCCGCCTCCCAAGCCCCCTCCTCCTGGTTCACCGCTTCCGTCTCCCAGTTCGCGCACCTCTACAGCGGCCAGCCCACCGCCCTCATGCTACTCTGCGAGTTCATTCTCAACACAAACAGCGGTTGTACGGCAACCCCCATGAGCAACAACATGATTGCGGCAGCAGCAGCGGCTGAGAACGGTAGTGGTGGTGGTGGTGGTGGTGGTGGTGGTGGTGGTGGTGGTGGCACGGAGGAGGGAGCTGCGACTGCTGCTGCTGCCGCAGCTGCCTATCCTCATGCCGATTCCAGCACCTCTTCTTCCTCCTCATCTTGGTTTCGCGCCCGTGCACATCAGCGGTTGTTGTACCACACACTGCTGGAGCTGTATCTGGCTGAACACATCTGGCAGCAGGGGAAGGGGGAGGAGGAGGAGGAGGGAGGAGGGGTAGAGGGGGAGAAGGAGGGGCAGGGGCAGGGGCAGGGGGTACTGAAGAAGCAGGAGGGGGGAGGGAAGAAGAAGCAGGCGGGGAAGAAGGGGACAGCAGATGTTGGAGAGAAGGGTGGAAAGCAGGGGAAGGAGAAGAAGGGAGGAGGAGCAGGAGCAGCGAAGGGGGAGGAGGGAGGCAAGGCAGGGGCAGGAGGAGTAGTAGGAGGAGCGGCGCCGTCTTCGGATCTAGATATGGAGGTGAGGCGGGTAAGGTGTGGGGATTGTGGTGAGGTCGTGTGTGTCAGATCGTTGGAAGGGAAAGAAACCAAGGTCGTCATGAAGGGGGGGCTCGCTGTCCCACGCCTTCCACCCCCACCTGCCTCCCTCCCCACCCCCACCTCCTTCCGCCCCCTCGCCCCTACCCCCCAACCCCCCACCCACCCAAACGCAGGCCCGGCGTGCCAAGGCTCTGGACCTGCTGTCCCGCGGCTGGCCCCCGCACATCCCCCTCCCGCTGCCCCACCCCACACCCTCCTCCTCCACAACACCTCTCGGAGGAGGGGGCGGCAGCATGCATGGAGGCACCGGCGCGGCACACACCTCGGTTTCGTCCGCCTCCGCTGCTGCAGGGGCAGCAGGGGAGGCAGGGGCAGAGGGTCCCGCCTACGATCCAGATCACGCGCTGGTGTTGTGTCGGATGTACGGATTCCGACGGGGGCTGTTGTTCCTGTACGACAGGTTGAGACTGCCCCGGGAGGCGCTGCAGGTGTGGGGGGGGAGGAGGGGGGGAAGGAGTGGGGGAGAGGCGTGGGAGGAGGGGTAATGAGGGCGCTCAACAATAACCAGGCACACGTATACACATATACCCCTTACCCCTGCAACACATTATGTATTCATTCTTTCCTCTCCCTCCCCGATCCCCCCCTCCAACAGGTCTACATGGCCGCGGGGGACTACGATGGCCTCATCGCCGCCGTACTCAAGTACGGAGATGTGGCCAGGTAGCTAGGGGGGGAGGCAGGGGGGAGGGTGTGGGGGACGGCAGGGAGGTGTTTTGGGGGTTAATGTAGAGATTGGGGGTGGAGATGAGGTCCCGATGGGCATCTAGCCACGACGTACGTCCATGGGGGGGTGGTACACGCATAGGTCCCGGTGTTGTGTTCATACATCACCCCCCTCCCTCCTCCCCCCCCTCCCTCCTCCCCCCCCCTCCCAACTCCCCCCAGGGGCGGTGACCCCGTCCTGTGGTCCGAGGTGCTCGACTACTTCGTGGCCCGGCACGACAGCAACCCGCCGCTCAGCGACTGCAGCGGACACATCATGCAGGTGGGGGGGGGTGAGGGGGGGATGAGTGGGTGGGGGGGGGGGGGGGGGGAAAGAGGAATACCCAATGTGTTGATGAGGATGTCATGCAGGTGGGGGGTGGGGGGTGAGGGATGCAAGAAACCCCTCTGGCCCCGACTGGACCCCGCAGCTCCGCCCCGGCTGCCACCCCACACCTGCACCCGGGTGTGCCACTGGCCTGTCCGTCCTCTCCTACACTCCCTCTCCGCCTCCGTTCTCCCTCACTTCCCCGCCACCTCCCCCCCTCCCCCCTACCTCCCCCCCCCCTCTCCCCCCTGCCCCCCCCCCCACCAGGTGATCGACCATGTGGAGCGCAGCGGGGTGCTGCCCACCCTCATGGTGCTGCAGGTGGGGGGGGAGGGATGAGGTGGGGGGGGGCATTCAGGAAAAGATGAAGTTGGTTACGATAGGTTGGTACCGGTGACTCGTTATAATGTACGCATTGTTTACTCTTTACCCCACACATAATCCTTCCCCCTCACCCCCTTCCCCCTCACCCCCTTCCCCCTCACCCCTCACACCTCCTGCGCCCCCCTCACCTCCTCCTCCTTCCCCTCAGACGCTGTCTCGCTCCCGCCGACTGCCGCTGTCGCTGGTTCGCGGATTCCTGGCTCGGTCGTTGCAGCGGGACACGGCAGCAGCCGCCCGAGACAGGGAGGTGAGGGGGAGGGAGGGGAAGGGGTGGTCCGGGTGGCGGGGTGGGCTGGGGGTGGTTGGGGGTGGTCCGGGTGGCGGGGTGGGCTGGGGGTGGTTGGGGGTGGTTGGCAGCCATCTTCCCAGGTACGGGTACCGTTCGGCGTGTTGGCGGTGGATTCAGTCAAGGCGTACAGCTGCGGGAAGGTTACGTAATTATTACGGCAGGGTAAGCAGAGGCTCGACGAGTTTTCTGGGAAGGCTCTGGCTGTGTATTGGTTGTGTCTGTGCGTTGGGAACAAGTGTGGCTTTCGATGCAAGTTGACCGGGCTTTGCCAAGAGCGGCTTGTTGTGTTGGTGGTAGTGTATGTGAGTCAGAGTGATGACGCGGATAGCTGAGTCACCGGTCTGTTCTTGTTGTTAACGTAGGACAAGCCCTCAGGAATGGCTAGCAAACAATTCCTCTATTCTGACGCTCACTGCATGAGTTTGGATTGGGACTCCGTTGCTTCACTTCTCATTCAGTCCCCCCCCCCCCCCGCCCCCCCCCCCCCCCCGCCGCCCCCCGCCGCCCCCAACCCCAGGCGGTATCCAAGCTGGCATCCGAGACCACCGCCCTGCGCGAGGAGGTTTCCCGCCTGCGCACCAAACCACGTGTGTTTCAAAACTCCCGCTGCTCCGCCTCGGGAGCCCCCTTGGAGCTGCCTGTCGTACACTTCCTGTGCGGCCACTCGTACAACCTGCGGCAGCTGGGAGACAACGAGCGGGAGTGCCCGCTGTGCGGCCCCGACCAGCGGCGGGTGCTGGAGATACGGAGGAGCCTGCAGGTGCGGGTGTGGGGTGGGTGGGGGTGTGTTTGTGTGAAGGAAACTGGCCGCGAGTAAGAGTAAGTGCGTGCAAGGGAGCTAGTGTGTGTATAGTGGTGTAGAGGTGTGGGTGGGGGTGGGTGGGGTCATGCCGGTAGGTCCTTTAACCTTGTTAAACGAGACAAACACAGTCCATGCGTTACTAGCACAGACAGCTGTGTGGTCAGTAGCGTGTTGTTACACGAGTGCGGGTTTCACGCTGGAACACACCCCTCCCTTACCCTCCTCACCCTGTCACTCCCCCTCCCCGCCCCCCCCCTCAGGCCGCCTCGCTGCAGCCCGAGCGCTTCTTCTCCGAGCTGAGGGCGGCGGCGGACGGCTGGGGGGTGGTGGCTGAGCACCTGGGGAGGGGGGTCATGAACGTGGGGGCAGCCGCGGTGGGGGCGGCAGCGGCGACCCATGGGTCAGCTGCGGCGGCGGCAGGGGAAGGTTGAACGGAAAGGAAGAGGAGTGGGGTCGGGGGCCTCTACATGAGTTAATGCCGCCGGGTCATGAGGGTCAGGGGAACGCCAGCGGGGCGGCGGGTGATGTTTTTGTGGCAAAGAAACTGGCCGTGAGGAGAAACATTCTGTGTGGGGGGGTGGGGGGGAGGAAGCTGGCGACCTGTATGACATGTAGGCTTCACCATGGGGTGCAAGCATGGTAGCAAACATGAGTGCAGCTGTGAGTGCAGCTGCGGACGACTCCTTTTGGGGTGGAAGGATGGGTAGGAAGACGTCTGCGATTACGTGTGCAGTGAAGGGGGGGTGTAGATTAGTTGGCAGGGGGGTGCTGGAACGGCAGCGGGGGTGGCGGCGGGATTGTGTTTTGTCACGACCGTGACGTGGGTGATGTGGCCGCGGCAGCCGTAGCGGCGCCTGCAGATGAGCACTGCTACTGGCGGCGAGTGAAGGTGGAGCAGGATGGGGTGCACGCCGACATGCCGATGAGGGCCAGATGGAGTTTCGAGCGAGTTGGGTTGGCTGGGTGGTGCCTGGCAGCAGCAGCGGTTGGATGTTTGAGAGAGCTGAGAAGCTGGCTGCTACTGGTAGCGGCCGGGCAGCAGCTGGGGTTGTGTGGCGGTAGGGATGCTGTAGCGGCGGGGCGACCTGGTTAGCGTCGACCTACGCGTTTGACCGCTGTTGCAAACGCGTAGAGCGCCCTGCAAGTAATGTGTGTGTGTGTGTGTGCTATTCACTGCTACACAGGCGTGTAAGTAGTACGCAAGCCAGGTGAGTTGCCTCCCTGTGCACGCCACCCTGCCTCACTCCACTCCACTCCACTCCACTCCCCAAGCCATCCAGGCAACCAGGGACTAGGGGATGAAGGCGGCGCTAGCTTCCTTAACAGTCACACAATTGGGGTGGCAAGTGAGGTTCTCTTTCATACCGGTATCAGGGAGGGAAGGTTCACCTGCGGGTTAACACCGCCCCTGTGGTGGTGATGGTGGGGGTGCCGTTTGACCCCAGTCGTTCCACATTGTAATAACCCCAAATTGCCAGCCGCTAATCGCGGACCCAATCATAGGCTTGCAACGTTGCATGCAATACCACCCCATTCCATACCCCTTGGCAAAATGTGTTTTGCATTTTCAACATTATCTCTTCACGCTCGCAACCAAACAAGGTAAGGCTAAGGTCAACGGAGTGTATGCCCTATAGCTGGAAAGGGAAGGAGCGAAGGAAGTCAGCAACAAAGGCACCAACAGCTGCCGTGCGCGCCTTGTTTGAAGAAGGATTGTTGGTCGGCTGTTGCCCCCACATGCGCCCCATGTTGGCTGCCATCCATCCAGAGCGCAGGCGCGCAACCACGCTTGTGAATAGAAAACCAGCCGCCGTGTCGGCAAATGATGTGTCCCCACCAAAACGCCACAGCTATGTGTGCAGTATGGTGGTGTTATAAGACTTATAACAGCATATACCCCGACCCTACAGCTGCCAACCGAGCAAGGTACGATGCATGCTGGGTGTTTGCCACCAACCGCCCGTCATGGGCTCATCAATCATCCACCAACAGCATTGCCGTGCGGGGGGAGTCGCCCCAACACATGCTGCCCCTGCTGCTGCCATCACCCCAACACTAACTACGACAAGCGGGACGGCGTCACACGTCAGAGGCCTGCCACCCCCGCTCGCCGAGCCGCCAAGTAAGCACGCGCCAAGCGGCAATCGAACCGCCACCTCCTCCTCCTCCCCCTCACACATCGCCCTCACCTTTGCCCCCCGCATCACCCCCACCCCCACTAACACCACCATTGCTAGCATCACCCGTGGAGCCCACCGCCGGCTCCCCGTCCGTTGTAGTCGCCCCTTCCCCTGGTGCAGCAGCAGCACCACCAGCACCACCAGCTGACGCGGAGGCTGCTGCAGCTGCTGCTTGACTCACGCTCCGCAGCACCGCTGCTGCCACCGGATGCAACTGAACCGCACCCGTAGCGGCTTGGACTGAAGCAGCAGCCGTAGCAGCGGCAGCAGCCGGCGTAGCAGCCCGTGCAGACCCGGCGCCTCCGCCACCACCACCGCTGCCGCCACCGCTACTTCGCTTCTTCCCTACTAAGCTGCTGCTGGTGGTGGTGGTAGGGGTGGGGTTGCTGGTCGTACTGCCACTCCGCTGCTGCCGTACAGCGCCGCCCCCCGATGATGATGTTGCTGACGAGGCAGCACCCCCGGATAGCACCGCCTCCACACCCTCCTCCCCGCCGAGTACGGCAGCTAGAAGATGCAAGCAATGTACGACAGCTACTGGACACGCTGACAGCTTGCTTGTGCTGCTGCTACTGGCTGCGGTTGTTGTCGTCGTACCTGCAGTACGAGCGGCCGCCGCCACTGCAGTACCTTGTACGAATCCGGAAGTGAAGGGTACTGCCGTACAGTTCCCCGAACCAGCTGGCGCCCGGGCTTCCAGCCAGGAGAGGATGGCTTGTACGGCACGAAGGGCCCAGGAGGTGTCCCGTGGGTCGGCGACCAGCGCAAGACGCATGATGGCCTGTGGTGTTCAGCAAAAGGCCATTACGCATGGAGCAACGGAACCAGCAAACGGAAAGAAAAGGCCATTATGACGGCCAACAACGGAATCAGCAAACAGACAGTCCAAAGGGTCCAAGATGGGGTACCGAAGTGGAGAGATAGCCGTACGGTACCATACGGATGTATGAAAGTTGTTCCTGCTAATCAATCTCCTATGATACCGGTAATTTACCCTTCCTGTAATACCACGATGGGATTAATGCCTAGCAGCTTCACAACAGAATACAGAAAGGGTAATTACCGGTACTACAGGAGATTGATTAGCAGGAACAACTTCCATACATCCGGTGCCGTACGGCTACTACCTCTCCCCCCTATCTCTCTCCCATATCTCTCCATTTCACCAACCTCGCCCCCTCCACCCACCTGCCACGCAATCATGCTAAACGCGCCCGGACCGCTCCCCGGCGCCTCCGCAAACACCGCTGCTGCCGCCGCCCCTCCCCCTCCCCCTCCTCCTGTCGTACTCAACAGCACCGAAGGCGGAATGGACACCGCTGCCTGGTAGGCTGCCAGCGCATCCGCCTCGTGATGTAGCCGCTCCGCCAGCAGACCCCTTCGGAGCCACTCAGTGGGCGGCAGGGAGGGCAGCACCGGCGGAGGCCGCGGAGGCGGAGGCGGAGCGGTGCTGTCCCCATCAGCAGCAGCAGCAGTACCAGCAGCAGCAGCAGCAGCAACAGCACCAGTACCAGTACCGCTGCTGGGGTTGCCGGCAGCAGCAGCAGCAGCAGTGGTGGTCGCAGCAGCGTCCCGAGCGCGTTGGTAGTCAGCAGGGGAGGGTGCCGGCGCAAGACCCGCCACGATCTCCGCGTGGCTCCGAAACCCGGCTTCTTGGAGCTCCGTGTCTAGCGCCTTCCAGTCCAGGAAGGCCTGGTGTGGTGTGTGTTGGGAAAGGGGGGAAGGGGAAAGGAGGAAAGGGTGGCAGGATTAATTTTGTGAAGAGAGAACGGTGTGAAGGTGAGACGGCGAGCGGTAGCCGTTTCGAAAGTAGTGGAAAGCAGTGGAAAGGAAGCCCTGGTGGCATGCTAGCGGTTAAGGAGTAAACTTGACGAGGCACATTTACGTGAACTTAATGTGTCCCAATGTGCCGCGCGTCACCTCTCTCCCCACTTCCCCAACCACCCCCAAACACGCACGTAGTCCCGCACCTGAAGGTCGTGCCACAACGCCACGATGAGCTCGTCCAACCACCTACAACGGTAACCAAGCCGTAACTTACAATCCTCTCCATCCTCAGTTCAGTTCGTCAGCATAACGGTTCCAAGGTACGCGCGAGATTCGCATGGGACGTGCTCATGGGAAAACACAGGGAAAAAGGGGACACCGACACGCACAGTAAACAAGCAAAAGCGGCCCTCGCATCCTTCCCGCCCCCATCGCACATCCCTCTCACCCCTACCTAACACACAGACGCTTGGCGCCGCTCTCCGTCGCATCAAGTCCCTCCAACACCATGCGGCGATCCGCATCCGGGTTCTGGAGCAACAGCGGAAGCCCGCTGTCATCGCCACTGTCGATGTCCTCTCCGCCGCCGGCAGCAGCAGCAGCAGCCACAGGCGCATTCCCAGAAGGCGAGCCACCACTAGCAGTCGCATCTGCTGCCGCTGCCGCGGCGTCAGCGTCAGCGTCGCCGCTAGCCTCCGCCACCGCACGCGGCCCTGAAGCACCGCCACAACGCCACCTCCGCCCACTGGAGAGGCAACCCTCTGCGGTGTGTAATAACACCCGAGCGTTGCCTAGCACGTGGCAGCAGGCACCGGCGGCGGCAGCCTCCTTTGCCGCAGCCGGCGGCGGCAGCAGCGGCGCCAACGGGCCGTACGACAGCGCCAGCCCCTCTGACGGTAGTGACGCGAGTAGCGCCCGCTGCAGCCGCCGCTGCTGTCGCCGCCGGCGGTAGGAAGCGGTACATGCGGTGAGCTTGCAAGCCAGGTGCTTCACCATCGCCGACGTGGGCCAGGGCCTTCCGGGCTGCTGCTGCTGCTGGTGCTGCTGCTTTCTGTTGTTACCGGCGGCAATAGCGGTGGAGCATGCGGGGTGTTGTTTCGTCCTCCATGTCGCCTCCGCCTTCGCCTCCGTCGTCGCCAATGACGGTTGCAAGCCGTTACCCCAGTCGGCCGAATGCTGCGAGGTGGTTATCAAGGGAGCCAGCGACGTGCATACGACATGTGAGGTACTGCTTGTTGTCGCTTCCTCCGCCCTGGGCGCCCCCGCCTCGGCCGGCCGCCACCACTCCTCCTCAACCACCTCCTCAACCACCGCCTCCGCTTCTGCCGGGTCTTCCATCACCACCACGCCACAACGCTGCTGCTGCGGCCCTAGCCGCCAGCGCCCACCTGCACCGCTCCGCCGTACAAGTGCCGCTGTTTCCGCCTCCGCCGCTGCTTCACATGCCTCGCCCAACGGTCCTCGTTCCCGATACCGCGGCTGCGTGCCTCCACCTCCAAACCAGGCACCCCACCAACTAGAGGGTGCTGCTGCTGCTGTCGGAGCGCTCTCAGCTGCAACAGCTGCAGCTGCAGCTCCATCCGCTACTGGTGCTGCTGCTGCTGCTGCCACTGCTGCGGGGCCAACAGCCTGTCGTAAAGCCTCATGAGGAGGAAGGTCCCCTGCCACTGCCAACTCCGCCGCCATTGCCGCTGCCGCCTCCGCGGCCTCCTGTCGTACAAGCTCCCCTGCATCCACGACACCAGCAGCCGCCAGCATCTCCGTTACCCCTTCCGTCGCCGCCGCTGCTGCTCCTCTTGCCGCTTCTTCTACCGCCGCCGCCTCGGCTGCTGCAACCACAATGCCCACCTCCCCTGCTGGCCCTTGCTGCTGCCGCCGTTGTTGTTGCTGCACCATCAAATCAAGCGCCGCCTCATCCAGGGCCGCCTTCAGACCTCCTCCTCCGCTACCTGTACGACGACCCGACCCTCGTCCCCGGGCCTTACCATGTGTCGTACTTCCACCCCCCTTATTATCCCGCCTCTGCGACCTGCTAGCCGTGCTTCGCGCCCCCCCAGTTCCCCCTCCTGCACCCCCACTGCCCCCACCACGACCCCCGGTAGCAGCAGCAGTGGTGTCGGAGGCGGAAGAAAGGGAGGAGGAGCCGTCCCATTCATCATCTGCGTAGGCGCCGCCCTCCGCCGCCTCCAGTCGCGCCTGTCGCTCGGCGATCTCTCGGAGGTGACGGCGGTGCGCCTCGCGGGCGGCGGCGACCCGTGGGTCATCGTAGCCGGTCTGCAGGAGCAATGGGCCGTGTGTTGTTGTTGTTGTTATTTTTGCATGCAGCATTGTAGTTGTTGCATGCAGCAAGAAGGCTCTCGTCGTAATGCAGAGATGGTTGTGAGGAAGCAGGTAGGCCGAGTTAAACGTCGAAATCAGGCGACATGTGCGTGTGGGGACGCTCTGTTCGTGAGCCTGAGCAGCGTGCTCCCTGCCCCCCCACCTCCACCTCCCCCCCCAACCTCCCCCCCACCTCCCCTCCCCCCCACCTCTAGGTGCTCCGGGTAGTCCGACAGCCCCATCACCACCGCCTCCTCGAACGCAGCGTCCAGGTCCATACCATCACGTGCTCCTGCTGGTGGTGGTGGTGGGGGTTGGAGTTGGGAGAGCAGAGGGGCGGAGGGGAAAGATAGGGATGGATACTCCGCAGTAACACCCCCTCCCCCAAACACACACACCCGATTCGGCCAGTTTTCTTAACACCCGATTCACAACCCCATACTGCGGCTCCCTACTCCCCATTCCCCTCCTCACCATCCTTACCCTGCTCCCCCCCTCCTCCTCACCTTCCCCAACCTGCGCCCCCCCCTCCTCACCTTCCCGTGTCATGCCCGCCAGCTGCTGCTGCCCCTGCCCCCCACCCGGCGGCGGCTGCAGCAGCTGCAGCGGCGGCGGCGGCAGCTGCCCCCTGCTGCCGGGCGAGGGAGGCAGGGTGGCGGATAGCTGCCGGTGCAGCAGCCGCAGCTGCCGCTCCCGCTCCTCGGCTTCCTGTGGGGTCAGAGGAATACCAAACTGCAAATGAGGACAAGACTACAGACAAAAACATATAATAAAGACAGCCTCAACGGGTGAGGGGTATTGCTTCCGGGCTGTACTGCTCGCCCCCTCCCATCCGTGGTTTGGTGTGTACTAGTGGTTAGGTCTTTTCCTAAGTTACCCCTTCCCTTCCCTCCCATACCTAACCCCCGCCCCCCGCCAACTCTAACCCCGCTCCCTCCTTCCCCCGCCCTCTCTCCTACCCGCTGCTGCTGCCGTAACACGTCCGAGTCAGCATGCATCACGAACACGGAGGAGCGCAGCTGCAGGAAACCATCCCAGCCGGACAGCGCTACCAGGTCCTGTGGGGGAGGGGGGGGCGAGGGGGGGAAGAGGGGTGAAGGGGACAGCGAAACACACACACGGTAAAGCGTGCGCCCCCCACGGTCCCCACTTAAGCCACAACTGAACCACACACGCATGCAAATACACACACACACACACACATTCAAACATCGCATCACACACGCGCATGCATGCAAATACACACAGGCATGCAAACCCACACCTGCAGTACGGCATACACTGCCGCCAGTACGGCCTTAGTAATGCGCAGGGGTGCCGTATCCGGGGCGGCGGCTGCATCCAGGGGCTCCCGCGGAATCATGAGGGCTCCGGGCAGGGTGGGGTGGGGGGCCCCGGGGGTGGAGGCGGGGAAGGAGGCGGGGAAGGAGGCGGAAGGTGCGCCGGGGCCGGGAGCGGAGGCGGTGTTGTTGTTGTTGGTGCCCGGATGCACGATGTCCTGAACAGGATGCGAGGGATGAGGCACAGGGAGGGAAGAGGGGAGGAGCAGGGAGGAAGGCGGGAGAGGATTATCAGATACCGTGTGGAGAGGGTAGCGGCAGCGGCATGCAGGGAAGAGAGACGAGGCACGCCAGCTGCTGCGGATATGGGCGTCCCCTGTTCCCCTTCCTTCTTTCCCTCAAGCTCGGGCTCACCTCCTCTGCCAGCACTTGTCGTACCGCCGCCACATCCAGGTCGTACGGCGGTACGGCAGGGCGCGTGACGGACTTGGGAGCGGGGGGGACAACCACCTGCATGGAGGGGGCAGCATGAGGAGAATCCGAAGGGGTGCTTTAACAAATAGTAAATTCGGAGACGCGTCCCAAAGGTACGTGAAGGTGAAGAGTAGGGCAGCATGGTTAAGAAGCTTCTGTTGCTTCACAGCGTGTGTGGCGACACTACTTGGCTTTCTCCCGCTCTCCCCGTTCCCCAATTCCACCCCCCTCCTCCCTGCCTCCCCCCCCCCTCCCTGCTCACATGCAGCATGGCCTCCTCCCTGCCCGGCAACGGCGGCGGCGGCACCAGATTGAGAACCACCAGCGCCGCTGCGCCCCCGCCCGCCCCCAGCCGGCAGTAGGCACGTGCCAGGGTGAGCCAGGCGGGGCGCAGCAGCGGGCGCAGGCGGGCGGCCTGGGTGGCGAGGCGCAGCGCGGCATCGACCTGAGGAGGGGAGGGGGGAGGAGGGGAGGGGGGAAAATATATAATAAATGAAAACAACTAGAGTCCCAATCCCATATCCCGACTCATGCAGGAGGGGGGAGGTGGGGGGGGGGGGATAAAGAGGAAACGACGAACTGACGATGGGATAAGGCGTCATCGTGGGTTGCAACATGTGAGCCAGCCCGACCCGCCCAGCACGAGGGCCGGGGAGGGAGGAGGAGGATGGGCATGCGAGGAGATGGGAGAGGGTTGTGGGTTGCATGTGTGAGAGGAAGAGAGGGGGAGGGGTGTATGCAAAGCCCACCTGGCCGTCGCCCCTGTCCTTTCTCCTCCCCGCCTCCCCCTTGGGTATTCTTTTCCTCCCCCCTAAATGGATATGGGATTGGGGCTCCAGTTTGCTGCTGCACCTCTCATTTATTCCCCCCCCCCCTACCTGGTCCGCTGCAAGGCACTCTGCCGCCAGCGCCGCCAGCAGGGTGCCCTCCCCCGGGGCCCCCTCCACTGCCCGGGAGAGGGTGGACAGCGCCTCGTCGTACAGCCCACACTCGCGTTGTACGGCAGCCACGAAGAGGGCGGCGGGGGGGTAGAGGGGGGCCAGCCTGGGGGGTGGGGGGTGGGAGGGAAGGGTTTTAGGCACCGGCAGATGACATGCATGGGAAGCTTCAAATGTCGCAGCGTGTGCGAGGGAGAGAGGATACCTCCGCGTTACCCTTCTCCCCCTTTCCTTTCCTTAAAGCCTCGTCATATAGCTCATCAGTTTCCTCTTTTTACCCCTTTCCACGACACCCCTTTCCGCAGTTACCACCCCGCTCCCCCCCTGTACCCCATCTGTAATACTCCCCCCTTGCTACCCCCCTGTAGCGCTCCCACCCTCGCTCCCCCCTGCTCCTCCTCCCACCTCGCAAAGAACTCCAGCGCGGTGCCCCACCGCTGCCGGCGCGCAAAGTAGTGCAGCAGCGTGTGCAGCACCAGGTCGCAGTGCTCCGGAAACACACCGCATGCCTGGGTGGGTGGGGGGGGGAGGGGAGGTCAAGAACAGACCAAACCGTAGGAAACCACGAATTACGGCAAAACCAACGGGGGAATAAAGGGAGGGGTGGGGTGAAAGAAACACCGGTCGATGAGGGTAGTAGGAGGCCGTTTGTGCTGCCGCCCCTTTCGAGCTCCTGCCCCTGAGTCCAACCCCTTCCTCCCTTTGCCCTCTATCCCCATTGCTTTGCCCTAACCTGTTGTTTGGGATATCTCTTCCCCCTTCCTTCCCCACCGCCCCGTGGCAACCTGAGGCCGCCTCCTATCCCCATTGCTTTGCCCTAGCTTATCGATTCCTATTGTGTGGTATGGTCTTTGACCACCCCTTTCCCTCTCCCACCCTCCCCTCCTTCCCCCCCACCTCCCCCCCCACACACCTGGTCCACACTTAGCCCCTCCAGCGCCTCCGGCAGAATGCCGTCCTCGTACAGCCCCGCCACCGCACCCAGCAGCCGGCTCTCGGACAGCGGTCCGGGCAGGGGCGGGTGGCTGGGGGGGGGAGCGGGATCGGGTGGGGAGAAGGGTGAAGAGGAAGGGGAGTGAGAGGAGAGTTTGAGGAGGGAGGAAGAGGGATGCGGCACCTACAGACCCCTCTTTACCCACCCTATCTACCCTACGCATCCCCCACCCCTACCGTGCCACGGGGGCGGGCGAGTGCAGCGCCAGCTCCGCCTCGTACAGCTCCGACCGCAGGAAGGTAGCCACCTGGAAGAGGTGTACCGGTATGGGGGCAGGGTGAGAGGCACAGTGGCAGTTTAACAGTCACAGCAGGCGGACAGGGGGGGCGACATCCCACCATCCTGCCAAGCACTCCATTCTGAGCTCTGGGTGCTGCTACCTGCAAACCTACCCTGCCTCCCATCCTGCCCCCTCCTCTCTCTTCTTTTGTGGCACCTACCCGCCTCCTCTCCTTAACGCTTTGCCTTCACCACTGGTTTACTTTTGGCTCCCTCCCTCCCCTGCTCCCTGCTCCCCCGCGGCTCCCACCACGCCTCCTAGCGCCCCGTTCTTTACCCCCCCCCCCTTCCCACCCTCCTCCCCCATGTTCCCAAACCCCTTCCCTCCCCTCCCTCCTCCCTCCTCCCCCCCTCCCTCACTGCACGAGTCGGGATATGGGATTGGGACTCCGTTGCTTCACTTTCCTCTTACTTTCCCCTCTCCCCGCTCCCTCCCCGCCTCCACCCCACCCACCACGCAATTCCTCCACAGGTCGGGTGTCACGTCGTGCACATTGCCCTCGCAGTCCAGCGCCCCGCACACCACCCCGCCCGGGATGCACAGCTCGCAGCGCACGTCCAGCCGACTGAGCGGGTCGTAGCAGCAGTAGAAGCCGCGTTCGATGCGGGTTTCGGAGGTGCTGAATAGACCCTGCAGGGACGGGGTTTGGGAAGGGGAGATGGTGGTGTTGTATGGGGTTAGTTGAAATCGGCTGGGAGGTAGGAGTGGGGGGAGGGAGGGAAGGAGGGAGGGAGGGAGGGAGGGAAGGAGGGAGGGAGGGAGAGGAGAACCATGCGTTGAATGAGAGTGGCAAGGGGATGGAAAGGGAATAGGAGGGGTTAGGGGGAGGAGGACTGGCGGAGGTGGTGGGAAGAGAAGGGCGGAGCGAGGAAAGGACGTACGGATGCAAGGGGATTAGTACAAAGTTTGACCGCGATAAAGTGGACAGCGATGCGGGATGGGATATACGACACAGCACAGCGTGATAAGCTGTGACACAGCGGATAGTACGGCGGGGGCTGAGGAGGGCAATGGGGAGAGTGCACGAAACCGGTTCTCTGTTCGGGAGCTGGAAGATGGAAGGTGCAACGACACCCCGGAACTGTAAAAAGCCGCGAAATCCGACTGCTTAATAATTGACTGTACCTGCAGGAATGTCGGTGCTTCGACCATGGATGTCAGAGTGGCAAAATAAGCTGCGACAGCTGCCGATGAAGAAGCGTCCACGCCAAGGCAGTAATGGTAGTATCCTTTGGCTTCGCCAGTCGCTCCAGTTAGCGCACTCTTTGGAGCCTTTTGTAACCAGCAAAGATCTGGTGGCCCAAGGCCGCAAGCGCCCGCCAACACTACAAGGGACTCATCCCGAGCAACAATTGCCTCGCCGAACACCGTCTCCACATGTTCTGGGTGTCCTTTAATTGTATCCATGTTAATGCTTAATGTCCACCGTGATCTGTTTGATCTGAAGCCCTCCTTAGACCGCGACTATTTCAGCAAGCGAAACAAAAAGGGAGATGCCTACATAATGCTCTAGTTATAATGCAATATACGTTGTTGCATAAGAGTAATGAGTATGGAAGAAATGAGGGTCAAGCTGCTTCGCATGCTGAGGTTCCTTGGGGCCCATGCAGCACCCTGACAGCCCCTTTGTAAGACATTAAGAGCTCCATCCAAGCCACTAGATAACTGGTGTCTTGTTGCACTCTCACTCATTTGTACTCTCCATTTCTATAGAAGAAGGCTTCATTGACTTCATGAACCGGTGAATTGGTGACGCCAGCCCGGCAGTTCCTGCTTACGAGGGAACATGGCGGAGAAGAAAGTGTTCGCCGCCATTGAAGCGATTGAGGTGAATATTGCTTGTAGCATTGTGTCGGCAAGCCGAGCGCGCGCTTCAATGCGCTCGCCAACCGCCATGCCTGCTATCATACAGGCCCAAATAGAGGCAACTCATGTGCATCGGCAGCGGCTCCAGGAGGAGCTCCTGATAGAACACCTAAGCAAGCGGGAGCCGCTGCTGCAGCGCCGGTAAGTCCTAAGATTCTCCCGACACTTGCCAGCAACACCAGCGACGGAGCATAAGTTAATGCATGGCAGCAATGCGCTTTCATCTTGTGACTGCTAATTATTATTGTAACCGTTGCTGCCTGCCCAACTAGGCGTACTATCCTCCTTAACTTCGCGCATTGAGCAACCCTTTTCGCTCCATCGCAACGCAACACCTCCCACCCAATCAATTATGCCCTTACGCTAAGCCGCGCAACTCACACGATCCACACCAGCACCAACCCCAACCTACCGTTGCTCTTACTTCCTCTGACTTCCTGTTGTACGGCTACCGGTATCTACTTTTATTCTGCCACCTCCTCACCTCCTCCGCCTCCCTTATACATTTCCTGTACGGCAGGTATGAGCTGGTGACAGGGCGCTCCGAGCCCACCGAGGAAGAACTGCAGGTGCCCGGGGAGGGGGGAAAATGAGGCAGGGGTGGGGGGATTCGGACAGGGAACGACACCCATCTTTTCTCCTAACATACCACCCACACCTGCACCCAATCTCTCTTGCTCTCCCTCCACGGCTCACCTAAAAAAGTCCCTTTCCTTCCTCCTCCGCCGCCCCCTACGTGCCTCCTCCCCTCCACTGCTGCTGCTGCTGCTGCCGGTACCTCCCAGGGCTTCCAGCCTCAGGGCGCTGCAGCCGCAGCCGCAGCCGCAGCCGCAACAGCCAGTGCTGCCGTCAAGAGTCCGAGGGGAGGAGGAGCTGCGGCTGCTGCTGCCGCCTCCACTACTGCCGCCTCCCCTGCTGCTGCTGCCGGTGACAAGGTGTCTGCCGGCGTGCCCTTCTTCTGGCTCAACGCGCTGTGCAATCAGGTACACGTAAACCGCGGTACACGTGACAGAGGTTGGGCAGGGCGGCAGAGGCGGCATTAGCAGCAGCAGGTTGTTTTTTGTTCGCCGTTATTTTGTGCAAACCGCGGTATACATACACCGGAACCGTAACAGGGGTTAGTTGGGGCAGGGTGGCAGGGGGGCGCAGCCGCAGCAGCAGCCTGCTTTTATTTTCTTGCCGCTCGCCATGCGCGTGCCCATGACCCGATGCGATTTCCCATGACCCTGTTACAAACGGGAACTGGCACAGGGGCAGGTTCCCGCCCCCCTCAACACCCCAGCCCTCACCCCCCTCCTCCCTACCCTGCCTGCTCCCCCTTAACCCCCCCCCCAACCATGCAGGAGCAGCTGGCCCCCCTCATCACCCCCCGCGACAGACGCGCGCTGGAGCACCTGGAGGATGTGCGCTACGTGCGCGGGCCGGCGGGCATGGTGGTGGAGTTCGCATTCGGGGAGCGCAACCCCTTCTTCAGCAACAGGGTGAGGCGCAGGGGGGGGAGACGGGATTGGAGTGAAGATGAAGAGGGTTGAAGACGGAGGCGGGGGTGTTTAAGAAGCATTTCCCGCTGGCCTTCCCCGCCCTCTTTGAGGCCACCAGGCTGTCGTCGTCGCAGCCTTTCAGCGATTGTCAGCGCTCCAACCGCTCCTACCGCTGTGTGTGTTTTAGCCGTTGTGCAGCTCCCCCCCACACGAACTTTCCATGCCCTGACTTCCCACCACCACCGCCACCACCACCTCCTTCCCCAACCTGCTTGCTACCCCAGGTTCTGCGCAAGGGCATCTACGTCAAGCGGACTGCAGCTGCCACTGATGCTGCCGCTGCTGGCGGCAGCGGTGGTGACATCGAGGATGTGCGGGAGGAGTTCACGGTGATCGATTGGTATCCGGGCAGGAGCCTGCTGGTGCGGCGGTCGCCGGGAGGAGGAGGAGGAGGAGGAGGAGGAGGGCGGGGAGGCGGCAGGTGAGGTTCAGATGGGTATGGAGACACGTGCTTGCCCCAGGACTTCCTGGGGGCTGTTTGGCGATGGATGCATGGAGAGCTTGGCTTGCGGCAAGGCTTGTTAAGTGGTACGGCTTTTTTGTGTGTGTTCAGTGTCGTTATGCACCTGCTGCTGCTAGCGCTATCAGTAGTACGCAACGGCCGCTTCCAACGCCACCCTCCACACGATATCGTTAAGTCCACGTTGCTGACTGCCCGCATGTTGTTCACTTTCCCTCCCTGATACCGTATGTGTCTTCTGCTTTGCTTGCGTCGCAGGCGGCGTCCCTGCCCCTCCTTCTTCCGCCTGTTCCTTCCTATCGGCAACCCGGCAACCACGGCGGCAGATGGGGATTCCGATTGCTCTTCCGAGGACGAGGACGAATCTCCTGCTCCGGGCCGCCCAAGCAGCGAGAGTGGTGTTGCCGTCACCGATAACCACGAGGGTGCTGACGGCGGTGAGGAGGGTGGTGAGGTTGAGGATGAGGTTGAGGTGGCCAGTCGCCCCTTGCGTGACGGTAGGGTGTTGGATGTGCTGATCCGCAAGGTCATTCCCTCCGCCGTACACCTGTACATGAAGCCCCTGCTGAAGGAGGGGGGGGAGAAGGGGGAGGGGAAGGAGGAGAGAGAGGTGGGGGCGGCAGGGGCGCCTGCAGCAGCAGCAACAGCAGCCTCAGCAGCAGGTGCGGAGGGCGAGAAAAGGGCACCGGGCAGCAGCCGCTGCAAGAGGAACGAGGAGGAGGAAGATGGCGAGGAAGAAGAGCAGGCTGAAGAAGAGGAGGAGGAGGAGGAGGAGGGTTACCAGCTGGTCAGCGGGCGGCCCGCCGGGGGAGTTGGGGACCTGGCGCTGGCCTCGCAGCGAGCACTGTGGGCGCTGAGGGTGAGCAGGGGGGGGGGTGAGGGAGTGAGGTGGGAGCAAGGGCGGAGGGGGAGGCAGGCGTTGGGGCCAGCTGACAGAGGCTGGGCTGCATGCATGCTCTGGGGCCCTTCCGTCTATCGGGAAAAACACTTACGAGCACCCCCACCTGCCCAAACCACCCCCACCCCCAATTCTCGTTTATGTGTTCCCCACCCCACCCCCAATTCTCGTTTATGTGTTCCCCACCCCACCCCCAATTCCAGGGCCTGCAGCGGCAATTGGATGCCCTGTGTGCCGAGCTCAAGGCCGGCGAGTGGCGCGCGGCGGTGGGCCAGGCGGAGGCGGTGGGCAGGCTGGGGGAGCAGCGCAGGAGCCTGCTGGTCGGGCCGGCGGGTAGGAGCCGGGTGGGAGGGGGGGGTGAGGGGGGGGCTGGAGTGGAGGGGGCTGGGTTGGAGGGCTGCGTGCGGGGGGCTGGTTTGAGGGGTTGGTCTGGTGGAAGGGGAGAGAGAAGGACCCACCGCACCCGCACACCCCTCCCCCATGTGCCTTTTAGGCTACCTGCCACCCTCTTCCTCCCCACCTTCCATTAACCAGGAGCTTGTCGTCTTGTTTGCCATCCTCATTTGACACATTGGGTATTCTTCTTTTCCTCCCCCGCCCCCAGGCGCCCCCGGCCGCCAGCTCTCCATCCCCGCCTTCTGGCTGCGAGCCCTGCTGTCCACCCCCGCGGGCGGCGGCATGGTGGGGCGGCGGGACGAGGGCGCGCTGGCGGCGCTGGCGGACTTGCGGGTGGTGTGGGACAACGAGCGAATGCCGAGTGCGGGGGAGCCGGTGCGCAAGGCGACAGGTGGGGTGGGGGAGGTGGGGAGTTTGGGGGGGTCAAAGACCATACCGAACCATAGGAAGCCACAGGTTGGGGCAACTCAATGGGGAGTGGGAATGGGAATGCGGAAACGGACAGACCTTCAGCAACTCCAAACGCCTCCCCCTTGCCCCTCTTCGTCGCCCCTGGCAGTCGAGTTCGAGTTCCTGCCCAACCGCTACTTCAGCAACCGGGTGCTTCGGAAGCACATCACCTTCTTCGCACCCGGGGGCAGCCTCACGCGGCTGGGGGTGCAGGCGGCAGAGGTGGGGTGCAGGGGGGGGGTGTTGCATGGGGTATGTGCAGGGGGGAGGGAGAGGAAGGAGGACCCTCTGCCATGGACCTTGCACTTGCACGGAATGCCATGGGTCCATGTGTACCCCTTGCAGGCGGAACCCTTCGACGCAAAGGTCTTACCTACCACGTGTTCCTACCTACCTATGTAACCAGGCATGCCATAGACCCCTTGCTGATCCCCTTGTTGCCCCCCCCCCCCCCTGTGTATCCCCTGTGTATGGTCTTTGACCCCCCCTGTGTATCCCCTGTGTATGGTCTTTGACCCCCCCTGTGTACCCCTTGCAGGCTGAACCCATCGACTGGAATCCCGGCTGTGACCTCACCCTCTTCAAGCCGTGGCGGGCAGCAGCAGCAGCGGCAGCCAGCAGCGGGGGCGGGGGCAGTGGCGACAGCGGCCGCAATCCGGCTGGAAAGGTGGAGGGCGGCGACGGCAGCAGCAGCAAGCCCCGACGCGTGCCTAGCTTCTTCGCCTGGTTCGATAACTCGCCCGGTACGTGGGTGGGTGGGTGGGTGGGTGGTACGTGCGTGGGTGAGTGAGTGGTTGGGTGCGTGCGCAGCTGTGATGGAGTGCGGGTGAGGTAGAAGGTAAGTACAAATGTATGGAGACGGGTGCGAGGAAGGAGGTATGCAAAGATAGGGCAACAGGAAGCTGCTTGCTGCTGTCCCGCCCCTCCTTCACCCCCCCCCCTGCATGCTGCACCTGCCCCTCTTGGCTGGCTGCAGGTGCGCTGTGCCGCGCATTCCGCATTCCGGGCCACAGCCGAGCTGCTCGGGCGGAGGCGCTGCAGGTAGAGGCGGGGGGCAGGGGGGCGCAGGGGCGACCAGTGCGTTGGGGCGCCGTGCAGGGGCAGATAGGGGAAGTCTGCTTTACCCGCGGTCCACAGCTAGGGGCTTCTAAACAACGCCGCCGCCGTCGGCGCCCTGCTCCCTCCCCTTCTCCTCTCCTCCCTTCCATCCGGCCCTCCTCACCCCCTCACCACCCCAGCCTCCCAAACCATCATCAACCCCAACACATAGGATCTCCTTCTTTCCACCCTCCCCCCATCCCCCCCATCAGGCCCAGGAGGAGTTCCTAGGGGAGCTCATCAACACGCTGACAGCCTACCCGGGCAGGCTGGCAGCGCAGGTAGGGGGGGGGGCGGGGGGGTACGGCAGGGGGTGGGCGGGGTGGGGCGGGTGTGTGGAGCGTGTGTGGGTGTGTATGTGCGGATGCGGCATGTACAGTGCATGAAATCGTCTTGTGGTTGGTCCGCAAGACAGTGCACTCTACCGTAAACAGATGCGCATACCTTGGGTTTCTGGGGTGACCGACTGTCGCTTGTCTTCGATTGCCATAAAGCGCCCTTTCACATGCCGGCCTTTGGAACCCCTGTGTTCGGCGATACAGACCAAGGTGGATGTGAATGACTTGGGAGATGAGCGGGAAGACGAGGACGAGGAGGAGGACGAGCAGGAAGATGAGGAGGAGGTGGGCGCGGGAGGGTTTGTCACGGAAACGAAAACTGTCGACATACCCAAACACCTGGAAGAGCCCTAACTGACTCTTCTTAGGCCTGAGAAAGGCGCAGCAAGTGGTTTGACCGAGCGAGCTCAACGGGGGTTCAGCCTTCTATCTGGTTACACACATAGGGCGCTGATGTTGTCGCCTGCTGCTGTTGCCTTAGGGGGCCACCGAGGACGAAGACGACGTGGAGGAGGAGGAGGAAGACGAATCCGCCGACAACACCGCAGCCGCCTCCCGCCGTGCCGCCCGTTCCGCTGCTGCCGCCGCCCGCCGGTCTGCTGCTGCTACTGCTGGTTCCGTCGCTCGAAAGAGGGGTGCCGCAGCAGGCGCTGCTTCTGCTGCCAGGGCCGGTACCACCACTGCTGCTGACGCTGGCGCTGGCGTGGTTGGCGCGGGAAGCGGTGGACTGCTGGGCCGCCTGCTGCTGCTGTTAGGCGCCGGCAGCGGCGGCGGCAGCCCGTCCCTGAGCGGTGTGGTGCTGGTGGTGTTTGTGTTGGTGATGCTGATGGCTCAGGTGCGGGAGCGGGGTTGAAGACCGCACCAAACCATAGGAAAGCACAGGTTAGGGCAAGGCAATGGGGTTGGGGTGGGACAGGTTGGATGCGTGGCTCTCGTGGCATGCATGCATGCATGCATGCATTCGCAGCAGGAGCTTGCTTGAGCTCATTAGGAAAAGCTGTGTAGGGGTGGGGGCAAACAGGAAAAACTAACTGTGAGGGAGGGGTGGAGGGTGGGGTGGCTCTCGTGGCAAGCATGCATTCGCAGCAGGGGGGCTTGCAGCATGCATCAGTTAGCTATGTATGTTGCAGCCGTTGTGTTCCCCCCACCAGCGGTAGATAGGGTAGCATGGGTGGCTAGTTGCAACACCCCCGTTACCTGCCTTCCCTTTTAATTCGACACTCACGATTAGGTGCGTTAGTAACAGGAGTCCCGCCCTGTCTCGACTAGTACCCATCTGCGTTGCCCGCCCTGCCCCCTGCCCCTGCCCCTGCACCTCCCCCACGACTCCAAGGTGCTGCTGTTTCTTGACACGCTGGAGTACGTGCGGGGGCGCTTCAGCTGGGCGGCGTGAGGAGGGGGAGGAGCACAGGTGGGAGTGGGGGAGTGGGAGGGATGCACAGGTGGGGGGGGTGTGGTAGCAGGGGCAGGTGGGATGGGGATAGGGTAAGGAATGAGGTAAACGGGCCGACGGAAACACTGAGCCTGACCTTAGTATACCGGAGGGAGGTGATGGCGTCCCAAATGTCAGATGTATTTGAGGGAGGGAGGTGGTGGGAGGGGAGATGGGGCGGGGAGCAGGTGGGATGGGAGGGGGAGCTGATGGTGGGGTGCTGTGATTGTCGGGCTGGAAGGGGGGCCTGCATGAGGAGAGCTGTGATGCGGGTAACTGGGCGGTAAGGTGGGATGTATGCGGAGGGGCACAGCCCGCATGACTGCTGGAGGGGGGGATTGCGCAGAGGGTGCGGGTGAGGGTGAGGGTGAGGGGTGAAGTAGGATGCATGAAGTTTGTGTACGTCAGAAAGGGGCGGTAGTGGAGGGCTTTGTGGTAGGGGCGGCTGTGGGTGCGCGGAGATGGGGCAGCGCAGGGCAACAACAGCGGAGTAGGGCACGCGGGCATGGGGGATCAGGAAGGGCGGGGATTGAGGTAGGAGGAGGAGGAGCATGGCAAGGGGCAGGGGGCTCAGGGGATAGGGCGGCAAAGGAAGAACGACAGAGGAGGTTCGTCAATGATTGACGGCGGCATGTGGGGAGGTAGGATACGGGGATAGGGCAGCCTTGTACGATGATATATACGTGTGCATGCAAAGCGTCTTTTTGTGTGTCCAGGTATATACGCTCCGTAGCCCAGCCCAGCCCGTGCTGGCAAACAAGCAGCCCTTTCCAACGGCGGCGGCATGTTGTCTGTCGTACGTTTGTTCCTTTTCTTGAGTTTCACGCGGCCAGACACCATCCGCATAGGGTTGCCTCTAGGGTTGCTGCTTTGGTTACATGTAAACACATCGGTACGACAGGGAGGGGAACCGTCTCGTTTCTTCTTTGGGCCGTTCATTTTCGCACCGTGCACGCTGCCCGGTACCGTGCACGATGGCAATTCGTAGGATCGGTGAGGAGCGGTGGCGCAACCAAGGCAGGCAAGGCTGGCTGCGGTTCGTGGGAAAAGGTGCTTGGTGTGTATTTCGATGGATGCTGGATGAGCGGTAACGCACGTTAGCAGGGCGGCAGGGCCCGGCACGACATGGCACGTGTGTGGCATGCCCGCATATGCTAGCGGGTGTTGGTTGTTTGTTGTTGTTTTGGTTGTTACCGCGTCCGGCACGGTAGGAACGGACATGGAGGAGCGAGGTTGAAGAAATACGGCAAAAGCATGGCGGCGGTTGGCCCGCGGATACTGCTTGGTGAGGTGTTGCATGGAAGTGGAGGTAAAGAGTCACGGTTTGGGTTGGTAGTTATTGTTAGGTAGTTATTGTTAGTAAAATAGATCATAACTGGAGTGGTTAAGGCCACGGGGGTTGTAGCACCCCCTGCCGCCGTTGTTTCACTTTGATGATTCCCCCGCCGCTAAATACCTGGCGGCTGGTTTGCGGAGGTTTCTGAATGTGTAGCATGCATGTTTGCAGTTGCTGGGTTTGCGTTTTAGGGTTTGTACGGATATGAAGTGGAGGTTGTACAAGTATGATGTAGGCGTATTGGACGGTTGTACGGATAAGCACCATCTTACGTAAGCCTCCGTTGGGAGCGCAAACGTCCTATTAGTTGCAATGATCGTTAGTGTAGTTTTGATTCATCGTATTGCTGTTGTGTGGAGGGTACGGCAGCAGTGTCTCTTCTTCAGGGTTTGTTTGCCGTACTGGTTTTGCCATTCTTGCTTGGTAGCTCTAGTTGGCTGGTAGGCTTGTAAGTTTCGCATTCTAGCTGGCCAGCATTCATGATGTAAGGTGCAGGCCTTGAGACTGCTGATGTGTTGCATGTTTAGACGCATTTTTGTCCTGCTCCTGCGCCTGTACATACACTTGTAGCCCTTTCCTGACCTTCCGCTGTGCTCAAACTAACAGCTGTACTCATCTAACCAACAATGACTCCGCATTGCTAATTATTGTAATATGCCTAATAAGCGTACGGTAATAAGCCACCCTCCTCTCGTTTTTAGTGCCGTTGCTAACTGCGTCATTACCCGGTGAAACATGCGAAAGAAATAATGCTTGTCGTCATTCTTATCGAGGAGGGCAAGTGCTTGCTTTGCTCATCATCCATCCAAATGGCACTATAGTTCGAAGTTGACAGAACCCGCCAGCACTATTGCTGGGCTGATTGGGACATCAACTACTGCTGATGACCGCTCTGACGACGGAAGCAGCCCTTGCCCCCTACTTCCCATGCTCGACACCAAAAGCCTCCTTCACCTCCAGCCATCCATGCCTACACAAGCAAGGATATCAGCACCTTGTTGCTATCCTGTTGAACCGGCAAAATAATGACGTTGTCTAAGCAACCCATGCTACCCCATTCGTCAGCTCTATGCTATGTACGACAGTATGATGGTTTGTAAATACCGGTAACCCACGGCAGTACACTTACGGCATCACACTCATGTGTCCGTACACTTGAGGTCCTTGCAAGCTGTACTGCAGTAATTGCAGGAATGACTGTTTACATGGTTCCCTTTAGAAGAAACACCACCATTGCATGCACTCTTGCATAATAAAAGAAAAATATTTCCATACTCTACTCTTGCACATGTACGTATTGCACGTACCATCGGGCAGCCGTACGTTGTGGCTTCAAATGTCGTACAGCAGTGTTATTTGCTTCAAGGTAGTGCCGGTGCCGGAGCCCAGCACGTGATGCCGTACGCAAGGGCCAGGGAGGGGTCCTCCTGGCAAGTGTGCTGACAGGCAGCTCCGCAGCCCTGTGTAGTTGTGGGGGGTGACAGCCGGGCAGGTTTGCGGGGTATGTAGCTATCAGGGTTTGTGCGTGCGTGTGTACCGGTATATATCGGGCAGAGGGTTACAAATCAGCAGCTAGCGCGTGAGGCTGGACATGCTGCTCTAGAAGGGCTGAAGGTGGTATAGAAGGCTATCCTACGAGCAACGAAATGCTAGTTGGTACATGCTTGCGTCATCATGTCCCGACCCAAACTCTAAGGCATAATACCGGTATCTGTCGTCACTGTCACTTACCCCCTGTCCTCGAAAGGCAGCAGCACTGTCGGGGTCGATGTCATCCGCTTGGTTCACCGCGCCGGAGGATCCGGGCCGAAGCCGTGTGTACTGCAGCAACGAACGCAACCGCTGCCACTGCTGCTGGCTTTCATGTTGCTGGGCTTGCGGCTTGTTGTGGTCCGGAAGGTGGTGCGGGTGACCCATGGGTCCATCTCCTGCGGTAGTGCTTCCGCGCAGCGGAAATGGCGGCGGGTCGACCTCCAGTAGCCCTTGCTGCCCGTGGCTGCCCACTTCTGTTGCTAATGCTGTTCGCAGCACACCCAGAAGCGCCACCAGCGCTAGAACCCCAACGACAACGGCGGTTGGAAGGGTGAAGCAAGGAGGTAAGCGCAACCTTCGAGTGCATGACATGTTGCAACTAAGAGGACTGTGTGTTTGAAGGTGCAATATAGGAGACGGATCGGCAAACTGTATAGCTATCCCAGCTCAAGCCGCATGCGTGTGTTAACACCTTAACAGGGTTCAAGCTTTCGGATTGGGCAGGGGCTGTGGAAGCGGTGTTAGTTGGCCGGCATGCCGTTAGTTGGTCTACAGGGCATTTCGTACGTGACATGGCCCGATATGTACCGGTGATGGCTGTCATTCGCGCAACCGTTCTACGAATCGTAAGTGCCATCTTGCCGTGGTTGAGACAAAATACAATCAGACTTGTTTTAAGGACTGGTGCCCTTTAAGCGTGCTTATGCGTTTTGAGCTTCCGTGGCGGGGATTTATTGCATGTGTACGTTCGATGTCCGTACGGCAAAAAAAGTACATCAGACTACTCAATCACACTTCTCTTTCTAACAGGAGTTGTACACGGATGTTCTACGTACAGACCATACCCAGAACGTCTTTCTCACACAGACCCTCTGTACTGGTACTCACTTACAACACCCTCCTAACCAGGGTCATCTTAACTCATGGCAACTGGTGTTCTCAAAATGGGAAGTTTACACCTCTCACCTTCGTACGAAGGTGTTCGTCATTCGTACAACACATCCTACGACACATCCGAACGAAAGTCCAATACATTATAAATACATTCAAAGGGCCGTCATGCTCCTATTTAGTCGTACTCGCTGCCCTGCTCCTGTATAGGGATATCGCACTCCTAGCCATTCGCTATTCGCTCACTTTACTTCCTAATTGGGGCACCTGGAGCCCAGCACGTGTATCCGTACGCAAGGGCCAGGGAGGGGTCCTCCTGGCAGGTGTGTTGACAGGCGGCTCCACAGCCCTGTGTGTGTGTGTGTTTTGGGGGGGTGGAAGCCGGGCAGGTATGTATGCAGGGAAGATGTCAGCGCATGTTGTTATGATGCCATGCACGAAGTGGATTTGGCATGTTAATTGTAGCATTACTCTCTAGCTCTTGCGACAGCCATGATGAAGTAAAAGCTTTAAACCCAGCGGAGGGAGGAAGGAAGCAAGACCCGCACTCACCCCCCTGCCTCGAAAAGCCGCAGCAGAGCCATCCGCATACCCAAACTGCAGCAACGAACGCAACCTCTGAAGCAGGAGCACCCGCCGCCGCCTCTGCTGGGGCCACGGCTGCTCCTCCTCTTGGTTAGCAGAAGAAGAAATAACAGCGGCAGGAGCGTTACTGGAGCTTGCTATCGAAGATTGTACGACAGTAGCCGAGTACGAATTTGCTACTTTGAATTCCACGTTGCCGTACAATGCAGCAGGTGATGGCGCAGCAGCAGGGGTGCTGCCGATACTGGTCTGTGCAGCGGCGGCGGGGATTGCGCCGCTGGCATTGGTGCTGTGGAACCAGTAATATAGAAGGGGAAAGGTTGAGAATATCATCAGCCGCTCATCATCAGTCCCATGAGCAAGAGTGACAGTCAAATGGGACAAACCCA